GTCATTTTTTACCCCAATCCAATACCAATGATGTCAAAGTGCCGACTCCAGCATATCCAAGATGTTGGGTCCATAATCCAAGATGGATCCAGCCTCCAAGATGGCGGGTCTAGCATCCTAGATGGGTCGAATGACGGGTACCCTGGGCCCCAGAATTTTCTCAGGCTCAAGTGTCCCCATACCTACTAGTCTAATTGTGATTCACGGTGTTTTTTGAAAATCTTGAAGGAAGGATTATTTTATATTGTAAGTGGTGTTCCTTTGAATGCTGGAGTCGACGTAAAAACGAGGCCACTGCTAGCTGCGAGTTCCGCGGTGAATTTGTTTACACCACATCTCTGGCAATATGCCTTAGTTTTCCTGAAGATGCAATTCGTCAGTCTCGAGATAAAGTGTGCAGAAGAGGTTAAGCAATCTTAATAAAAGATTTAAGTTATTGTCAAGTGAAGTAGTAAAAGTTTGTGGAAAGTTGTTAAAATCAACAAAATTAATTACATACGCTAACATTACGGAAAAATTAAAAAGAAAATAACTTTTAAAGAGGAATATCCCTCAGTTTGTCCGGGTTCAGAAAAAGTTTGTATGGTCCGAGCAGCCACCGAAAATTTGTTTATCTTCCTCATCAAACCAGATTTCAGAGGTTGTCAGTGTGCATGTGAGTTAAGTGCGCCTTTATCGCAAATCTTGTACGATCAGATTATTTGGATTATTGAAAATTTTTGTTTTTCATTATCGACCGCCTGCGTGTGGGGTATTATGTCCAAACAAACTTTCTCTTTCTTTCAGGGATATTTTGGAATAAATTTTTGTCATCGTCAATCATTTGATTGTGTGTTTGTTCGAATCCTTTGTGCGACCCAGATAGAGTGTTCGTGTGAGATTCTTCAATTCTGACCCAAGATTTATTTTAGATATTAATAAAAAGTTGTGTAATAAATTCTATGGAATGTTCGGAAGTTGAGTGAGGCCACCGAGTCTCTCACATGGAAAAAATTAAGTCAATATTAATACTTTTCTTGTAGCAGATGACGGATATGTACGTGGAGAGATCATAAAATTCACTTTCAATTTATTTGAGCTAGCTGGACAGGTGTTTTTGTGGGTGGTGTAGTTTTAGGGCCGTTGTTAACGATGTCACAGAGGCTTCATGGTAAATAGAAAATACACTCTTCCCTTTCAAAAAAAAGCAGTCAAATTTCCAAAATGTTTTTTTTTTCAATCTTCTGTTGACATAATTTGCTCATAAAGATTCCTCTACACCTGTTCACAGATTACCGTAATCTGTGAGCTGGCTGTTAATTTCCCATGGGGTGTGATGCACAAATTTTCTTGTTGAGGGTGAAACGGTCAGAATAACAATGAAAACCTTTTGGATGTTAGTAACAGTTTTATTTTCAGTGCTTATCTGCGACTCCCGAAATGAGCTTGGTGGTTTATAGGACTACCAGCATATTGTTCCAATTATTTTTCAACTATCAAGTTTTACATAAGTATTGCAAAAAGTCATTTCTGCCATGGCGAAATGTTCCAGTAAAATTTGAGCAGGTAAATATAAGAAAATGAATTACATAGACAGGGTAAAAGCTTACTTTGAAGTAGAGAGTATGAACCTAAATCCAAATTTTTGTGCAAATCTGTGCTGTTTGGCAAATTTATATGGTGTCGCCATACTTTACCGTCAATTACTAGGGTTTTAGGAAGATTACCATGTGGGGCAAACATACAATGTTATGTCCAAACTCTGTTGTTAAGTTAAAAATGTGGTAGCTCATTGTACTATTCTTGACAAAAGTAAATAATTTTAATGGAAAGAACAGAGTAATTCCACATACCTAATGGAATAAAACTGTGTTAAAACACCTATAATGAATGTGTACTATTTTAGCCAGAAGATGAAAACGTGTTACTAATGAAAATTATTCCGAAAAAACAATTACCTGTGAGCACTGAGTACCTTCCTCATCTATTTTACTTTGTAATTGATGGGTTTAAAAGAGGACATCAGAAAGTAATACCCACCATGGAGTGAGACTTCGGCAATTTTATCCAACTTCAAAGTGAACATTTTGTTGTTACAGAAAGTGGGTACCTGGAATCGGAACAACTTTGATAGTGCCACCTCAGAAATACAAAACGCATTTCGCGAATAGTATCGATATATTCACGGAATTTAGAGAATTACGACCTTCTGAAATATTACAACTTTTTTTGTAAGTACACATTAATTTCTAATTAAACTGAGGTCTCCGTTACTTAAACTAAATCTGCAAAATGTTCAATAATAACGAAGTTATAGACCTCCTTCGAAAGATAAAAAAACCCCCCTAGCTTGACAGATCAAGATGCGGTATTCGACCTTGCAAATGGGGGTCAGTTTTTTTTATCTGAAACTAACCCCTTACAGATGAAAATTTGAGACACCTACAAGTAAACAAAATAGGGAGCATTGTGTTAATGTTACTTTTTTTCATAGGATTATGTTGGAGCACCCGGATTTCCATGCAAGTCCCTTCATACCGATGATGGAGTCACATTTAGTCAAAGATGAAACAATCGATTCAGATTTAGTGGAATCGGATGACAAACTTTCGGATATTATTTTGGATGAAAAAAGTTGAAATCTAGCACTAAATTAAGTACGTTGGAAAAAGATCTTGTTATGTTTGTAAATAAATTGTTAGTATACTTGCTGTGGCGTGATTTTCTTCTTTCAGTTTTACTACTTTAGCACCACGAGCGTGAAATAGTTTTTCTGTGAAATCATTACAGTTTTGTTTATTCTTTGTTAATTTTCTTGTTTTTTTTACACTGGTTTCAATCAGAAGTTCTAACATTAACATTGACGTCATTTCCACCACACGAGGCTTTAGATAATCCTATCATGGGCCATTCATCATCAATTTTGTGTTAGACAAAAATGTTGTGGTTTAAGTTTTTTGTATTTCTGTCTCGGTGCCGTATACTTATCGCTTCCAGAGGTCAAAACTGAAAATGGTAATTCACCCAGCAAAAATAGACGGAGAAAAAAAAGAACTCACTAAGAAAAAACCAGCTAACGAACCAATATGAAACTGTAGAGCAAAATTGTTTGTAATGACATGAATGCATATTAAAATTATTATTTACATAAAAGTCAGGAAAATACATTATTGGCGAGGAAATGTTGAAGTATGTATTGTACTGATCAATGCATGGAGATTGCGCTTAAGTTAAATTAAAAATTGCATATGCGACCTTACACTTTACAATTTATAATAACAAGCAGAATCAGTAGGCGAAATTCTTAAAGGGCGTAAAAGATATTCATTGTTTCATTAACAAAGCATTTATTAAGTATATATGTACATTACACTAACTAATAAAATAAAAGAGAATGGTAAAGTAGTTTTACGAAAAATAATATGCTTTTGAATTCATAGTAGGTACAATAATAACAACGTCAACAATAATAAAATTAGCGTGTTTACACAACTGTTCAACATTCACTATTAATTAAAAACTAACAATCGAGAAATAAACTAAGTAGACAGAAAATAACCACTTACAGCATGACACTACATTTTCAGCATTATATCAAATTTTTTTTGTTCTGCAATTGGTTTCCTATGTAAATAATACTATCAACAGAAGAAATCTAAGACTAATATATTTGGTCAAAGTTAATAAATAAATAATTAAAAAAGTGTAACGTTTAGAGTTGCAGATGTTCACAATTTTTTTTTCTGCAACAAATAATTAAGTACATATTAATTCACAATTAACATTAAGTAGTCAATATTACTAAATGTATGAAAAACAGGGAAGGTCTTTATACAGAAACATAAGGTTTACCATGAACTTCGCATATTCATATTTTCTTGTGCAGCAGGTATACATCTACTGCGTACTATTGATGAATTACACAATGAATGAAGCCGACATTGTAAGCCTCATGTTGCACCCAGTATTGTATTATACATTTTTATTGTTTGTATGGTAAGTATTAATTGTGAACGACAACTTTTAAAATCATAGAAAACTAAACATATAATAATCATACAATAATGTGGAATATATGTAAATGCAAGCGTTTGTTGTGAAAATACGCAAACAATTGAACTTAAAGACACCAGTTTGCAAACATTTTCCTGATCGTGACATATTTTCAACGAAAAATGCAGTATATGTGAGGAATGTAATAAATAAACAATTTCATTAATAAAATATTAAAGTTTATCGGCTTATTTAACCGTATTGGTGTTTTTCTTTTTAAAAGTTTAGCTTATTAAAAATTATATACACGCTAATTACATTTAGAGATTTCCAAATATTACACTAAAGCAATACTATGATAATATATATGTACAATACGTTTAATTAGTGGTCGTGTACATTTCTACGATAATAAGAATAAATTCGAAGTGTAAGTCTAGTGATCGATGTGTAATCCTAAAATACTGAGAGCTTAAAACTAATATTTAAAATTAAAGCTATAAACATTTTTTTGTTATTTTCTTCGGATAATTTGTGTTGGACTTTCGGGTGGTGAACTGCTATATGTTTCTTGACGGAGAGATCGGCGAGGTACGTTTTTTAAACTAGTCGATAACTTTTTTAATGGACGGGGAGATATACTTGTAGATTCGACGTTTTGCGATACATCCGAGTTGTTGAACCAAACACCTTTTGTTGCATCGGACGCTGTAACATTAATTTAATCATTTTATTTCCATTCTACAAGACAGATTATGCAGTTTCCCCTTCTTGGATTGTTATAACATAGTGTAAAATAACATATTTTAAAGAGATATAGAATATGCTGCATGTACATACGTCATATTACAGGTTGCCCTAAACTGTATGTGGATTGACCCTATACTGAGTGCTCAGCCATTATACCAAAAAAGTGTATGATTACTTCCTAAATTTTTCATTATGTGTGTGTGATTAAATATGGCAAATATCATAAAGATCGTCCCAAAAAAATTAGGAGACATCAATTTGATACCAACTCTTTGAAATCTGTTGAACGATTATTTCCATATTAACTTTTAAATTCTATTGTAGTTTTTCGCAGCAACTTTACTTTGCACATTTTTTCACCTGTTGGTGTGCAAATATGGTAAATTCCAAACAGATTCACTCTATGTATCTGCTGGTGTGTATATTCTGTGCAGTTAAAATAAAACTTTGTGTTATTATAAGAAGCAAGGGAAATGTTCTTAATTAATTTTGTACCGCTATGCCAAATAAATTATGTGTGGATGTGTGAACGTAGTAAATTTCATACAGGTCATCCCAAAGTATATGTGGGTTTAGGATTCCAAATTTGGTCACAGAATGCAATGCTTCAATGTAACTTTTTGGTATCCGTGCCAATACCCATCCACCATATGTCATTATAATCAAATTTCTGAACTCTTGAACAATCACAACACAACAAACTATTCATTTTGTGATTATGAAAATGTTGCATTTTTTAATTAAAGGAAATATGCTACTTTCTAGGTATCTCGAGTGTGTGGTGATAGAATTTGTAATGGAAAATACTGCGCTGCTGGATTCGAACACCTAAACCAAATGGCACTGATTACAGAAAACACTTCCTCGGAAACCACAGGTAAATACACATACACAATACACAAAAATTAAATGTCAAATAAATTTATTTAGTTAAGTACCTATTTGTATTGTTTCACCGAAAGTCCTGAACACAAAAACGTGACGATGGTATCAGAAGTGGCATAAAAAAATCGTTAGCAATCTAACAATGAAATTCGAACCAAACTCAATGCAAGAAAATAGCGCGTACCTAAAACTCGTAGGGACTTAAGTTCAACGTGACCATGTGGTACTGATCAATTTCCTGGGGTTGGGACTTGCGTGTCTATAATACCTAAATAGCACAAAGACGCATTAAAGAGTTTTTGGGGTTGTTTATTATATTGCGACTTGCGAGTAAATCATTAAAAAAAGACATTCAATAATAATTAATGGTCATGGTTAACATGATTAGGCATTTTTTATAACGTCATTCATTACATACGTCAATAATCTTGCTATGGTTCTGCTTTTGGTTAATGTGTCTATAACTCAAATCATAAGGCATTCATGAACACAATGTTATTTACCATTTCAGACCAATTTTTTACATGCAGAAAATAATTTCAAATATATCGATCATTTAGCGGACCATCAATCTTGATTTATACCTGCCCATCAGGCAAACGCCCGATCGACCGATTGGTCAGTCAGCCCCTGGCCAGAGGAGAATTATAGGTTCGTTTTCGTTCGCCACTACTTAGAACTTAGAATTATTTATCGAAGGTTTCGGTACCGGTTCTGTGACAACAATCTCGGTTCTGGTTCCAGTTTTTGTTTATTTGTAAGGGTTCCAACATAAATAGAAAATATATAATACACAAAAATAAAGCAGAGGGTGTCCCATTTGCGACACTATTATAGGGTATCTTTGTAGTGCTATCAAACATGTAATATAGACGTCAAATTCTTGAGTAAAACTAATGGTAAAATCAAAATTTGAAAATATGCGCTCGCTTAAGAGATACGGAGGAAAATAAAAGCTTTATCAATTTTAGAATCGCCTTATATTTATAGTTAAGAGATACAGAAAAATGTTTATTCCAAAAATTTGTTTACATTGATTGTTGAATCACCCTGTATATTTTAATCTAAAAAGATAGTATATTTAATTCTCTTTCCAAGTTCACGTTTCAAGTGACACAAAAAAATTCAAAAAAGATCATAAAACATTTTATTTTTTTTCTTTACCTACACTAATTTTTTTTCTTTCTTTAATAATTTTTTTTAATCAATTTTTTACAATTCTCTTTAATTGCTTTTTTTAATGGTAACTGTCTCATTTGTTATATGGCTACTGCAGTATTAAAGTCATATTATTATTATTATTAAAAAATGATAAAATTATTTACAAAAATACAAAATATTTAAAGATTTTTGGTTTTTTAACTTTTTCAAATCTTTTTTAAATTTTTATCCAATATTGCATTTTTTATGTTATATTTTTGAAAAAAAAGGGCGGTCGTTAAAAAAAATCAGGTTAAGTCAGACAACTTTTTTACTTCACTTTTTTGAAAACAGTAGATTATTCAACAATCATTATAAAGAAACTTTTATAAATAAGCGTTTTTCTGTATTTCCCTCTCACAAAGCGCAGCGTGTTTACCTGATAATTCCATAAGACTGTGGTCATTGACCTTTGGTTATCTCAAAAATGAAGTGACACCACAAACTGGGGTTTTGAATCGCGACTAATCTTTACACTTTGAACGGCAACCAATTTCTGCACTTTGAGTGGTGCGAGCAAACTTTGTACTTTGAATGTCGACCAACCTTTGAACTTCCTCATCAGGAGAAGATATAGATACCTTGAAGGCCCCTGAATTTAGCCTTATGGAATTATACATAGAGTTGATTTAGAATATCCTTATATACCTAGATATCTCTTGCTTTGTTCATGAGAGCTCAGCGTACGCTATCCATGACATAATAATATTTGAAACGCTTTATAATGGCTTAGTAAAGTTTAAAGTGTATAACTTTCCATGGTCATTATTTCTAGGGTAAATATCGCACCTACTTGTGGAGTGGGCGACCAAAAGATGTCTTCTGATCTACTTCTCACTTTTTCTTGGAGAAAGGGAGTAGTCAACTACTTATCAAACATTTTCCGAAATCTCCACGTGGCACCCTAGAGAGGGAAATTAAAGGACCTCTATTTCACCTTGACCTACTTTCCAAGGTCACCGCCAAGTGCCTCTAATAACCTTGAAAGCGAACTCCGTTGAGCATCATCTACTGTGGAAGATCAGTGCCATGTTTTCGAGGTCAATGACTCCTCATTTGTGGTGTTTTTTTAATTTTCAAGAGGAATACTCAATTTTTGTGAGCCATATAGGGCCGATCCTACCTGCCGAGAACCGCACATTAATCATACCAAAGTACTGACATCGCACAGATCTGGCCACACACACCAAGCGCCAATACAGTTTTCACCATTTTCAATTGAAAAGAGAGAGGAAATCTTACATATTCGCATTTTTTATTTGTGGGGGACAAATATGGCAAATTCCACCCAGATCAACCCGAAGTATATGTAGGATGAGCGTATTTCGAGTGCTTTTACCATCAATATTGTGCAGCTATAAAGAACAACCGAAATTCCAACTGCAGATCTTGGAAGCGAACGTTAAATTATCTCTCTGTGTGTGCTTTCACTGTCTGTAAACCATTCACATTAAGTGTAAACATATTAATCTAATACCTTGTGAACGAATTTGCTTATATGGCAAGTGGGTTTTTTAATGGTTAGGTTATTACCTTCAGTTTACTTCTACACTTTTAGCTAGTGGTCTATGAACCGATATTTCTAATTAATCTTTTTTTGAGAACAAGAATACACGTGCGCAATGGGGTCATCCCGCCTTCATTTTTTATTTCTGATCCACAAAGTACATTAAAAATAAAAAGACCCGTGTGTCCTCAATTTTTATTTGCGAGTAAAAAACCCAAAATAAATTATTGAAAAGCTGTGTTTTTAGTCCGAATTTGAAACGCTTCAGACTAAATACGTCACAAACCTACAACCAATCACGTAGAAGTGAGCTGGCAACCTTACGCGAGGGTCTGACGTTTGTCACATTTGACGTTTTGAGAGGGATGTTTAACTGCATCTAGCACGAAAGTGACAAGTGCCTGTGACAGATGACGCAAGTTATAAATGCCATTCTCCTGCAATATTGCCAAGTCGTTATGTCATCTGAATGGTTCTAGGAGCTGATTGGTCGGGCTCATTACGTCACAGAGCCCGCCACAATCATATCGTTTTGAATAAACCTTTAAAACCGCACATGTTCATTAGTTTTTAGCTAATCAGCCTCTATTTTTAAATAAACTTTTACTGTCCAAAAAAATGTTTTAGGGTTTCAGGTACACGCTTATTAAATTAGAACTGCGGAATTCAACTATACTGTAAACCCCCATTTCAGTTAATGAGAAAAAGAACATAATGGGCAAGTCACTGCGAAAATTTACAAAACAGGTTTACTGACTTTCTTAAATGAAAAAAAGTTGATAATATTTTTGAACTGGTAAGATCACTTTGGCGGTATCACATTCAGCTTACCTCTGAACTTCTGATCAGATTTTTGACCAGCTTTATGCGAATGGCCGTGCGAATCTAGCAAGGCAGCTGCTAACATTGAAGTGTTAGCTGAACACGTTGCTCCATCACTACCGTCGGTAGAGCTGGAGCTTGCGGTACAAAAGGGACTAGGCATTGCAATAGGGCTGTAGACGCGAGATATAAAATCTTCATAAGTTGTCCTATCCTTATGTTTGGTCATTACTGTTTCTAAAGAACGCGCTCTTTCCTCATAGCTGCAACAAAAAATTTGACAATAAAATGGAAAACCGTTGATGGACGTGCGCAAAATACTTACTACTGCTGATAGAAAGGTAATGTAGTTCTTTTCGCACGACTAGCACAAATAACCGCGGCTCTCACTAATCCTGCCAGTATATTATTTTCCACAATGGCCTCGCTAAATAGAATACCAAAATAAGGAACCTGCAAAGAAATTGCTAGATGAAATCTTATAAATATAAAAATCTACCTCCGGTTTGCAATTAATTGTAATTCTATTAAGGTTGTTCCCTAAGGGATATATCGTAATAAGAATATCACAGAATTCCGTAGGAATAATATCACGTCGATACTCCCGACAATGCTCCGACCAAACAATGTGAACCTCATCGTTTCCCAAATGGCGGGTCTGAAAAATGTCGTGTAATAAAGGGCGAAATACGAAGTGCGCATCTTACCTTATTTAACACGGCCTCCGCTGTGTCGCCCGGCATTCTGGTGGCAACGTGGAATATCGCTTCCAGAAAACTGGTCGCAACATAAGGAGCAGTTAACCCATTTGAACCCTGCCTTTGCAAACCGCCCAAGAAACCTGTGTGCCCCTCTAATTCAACCTCCCAGGCTAACGCAGCGAGAAATTGCTCGTACTCAACGCTTCCACCCTGATTGGATAATATCGAATTTTTATCTTCTTGGCCGGGCGCGACGTAGATCACTGCAACCTACACAAGTTTGGTTTTTATTACGCCACAAAAGTTCCGCTGCACTTACTTTATGAGTTTCTCTGCACCTCTGTGTGTCGAGATTCCGAAGTTCCCTCAATAAACGCTCAGTTTTGCTTAGTAGCTGAAGATGTTTGCGGCGTTCCCATCCTGCCAAACCCAACTGAGAAAATAAAAGGCGACATTGCTGAAAGGCTGTCTGTTCGACAATTCCCGCCGGTGCTGGTGGTGGATAAAAAATTATTGCCAGGAAGGAATTTGGCGGATACAATACCTTGCTGAACTGATGTGATTTCGTAAGCTTGCCCCATTCTCACACTTTGCCTATTTGGTCGTAAAACAGGCTGGCCCATCATCACTTCGCTGAACTGTGTAATTCGACTTTGTTCCAATTCCACATTACGTTGACTTATAACGTCAGCTATCGCCTCTTGTTCTAATTCAGATGATATAGGCGAGTTAGACGGTTCGTTAAGTTTATGATCAAAACTCTCCAAACACTCTGGGCTTGTGTAGCCTAAATACTGCAACAACTACAAAACGATTTAGTGGTAACATCGGCGAGTCTATGCTAGCTTACATCATCCAACTGATCAAGATCTGGTGCAGCGTTTGTAGTATCTGGTAACACGTTGGGGGAGCGATGCCGCATTGCCCGCTGAGGAAGGTGGGGTTGCATGTGGTTTCCGATAATAAGACTTTCGGGTTGAATGTAACTCATTGGCCCCCATTTGTTGATTGACGACGAAATTGTCAAAAACGAGTCAGCTTCTTCCTCAGGTAAGGTAGGCATAGTGGGACTACAATACAGAATGGAAGCGTCCCAGCAGGCTTTCCCTGACAGATCTCTCAATAATACTCGCACCTGCCTATCTGCTGTTGACAGGCCGGCAGTAACGCCACCACCCGGTAATTCCAAGGAAGGTAATTCAATCAAGCTTGATATTACATTAGGCGTTAACACAAACAGCTACAATGTAAATGTAAAGTTTGCAGACTGCATATTTGCACGAACCTGAATATTTGGAGCAGTGAAAATGTTGGCGGACAGCTCATCTGATATGAGATTGGGAACGTCATCGTGTTCAACAACTAATGAACTTAGACGAGGAGCACCTATCGCCATAGGGAAATGGCCTAAATGAGTTACTAGGTGGTTCAGAACGGATTTCGCACACAAAACAATGGCCTCCTGACATTGATAATTTTTGGATGGCGAGGACGAAGGCGAGAACTTATCGAGATTATCCAGGAGAATATTTGGATCAAAGTCCTCACTCATACTTGGTTGCGTTAAGCCACCTTTGTTCTCCATAGATGTCTGGCCCGTTATTATTTTGTGCAATACCGTAAAGACGACGAGTAAAAGACAGGTGGCTTCTTTGATGTCCACGTACTCGGTGATCTCCAGAAGCTTTGACGGCTCCAATTTCATACACCATTCTCCCAAGCACAGCAATAAAGCCGTTCCAAGAGCTTTATCATTTTCACCGGCAGTTGAGCCTAATGGCGCGTGAAGGAAGAGCGCCGAACATAGCGTTCTAATAATTGCATCGCCTAAACGCGGGTATTGCATCCAAATTGTTGGCGCGTGGTCACACAGCAGAAATAAAATGTTACTCGCCAACTGCGCTATCACTTTATTATTGAACTAGAAAAAGTCGGGTCAGTAAAACGTATAACACGAATTGATGTTAATTACCTTTAGCGCTAGAAGAATAACATTAAGCGCTTCGGACGTTTTCGAATGAAAGGTTTCATTTGTCAATTCTTTATAAGCAAACATTCCTAGGGCAGACAAAGATATACAGCGCGCCATTCCAGTAGGCTCTCGTCGGCCTGCCCTCAAAAGAATTGTAACCACATGTTCCTAAAATATTTTGTTGATTTTTACAATTTATTTAAAAAAATAAAAAATTTAATATATAAATTTTAGTCAGTTTATAGGAAACTGTCACTAGACCAGTGATGTGTAATAATCGCATTCAATTTAAGATGGTAAAACTGTGAGGTAAAGAAATGTCAACCCCCCACCACCCCCTTACGCTCTGTAATGTTAAAAACGATTGTTTCCATGTATGTGTCATAGAGATCAACCACTGTTAAGTATAATGATTAAGGTTCTCGAAGAAAAGAACCAAACATAGTAACCTATATTTTGCAAAATAATTAGTTTGTCATAGTACAAACAAGTGTTACTATACCGCGTTCGCACCTCCAGATTCAGTATGGGGTCTTATGGACTAATTGCCTCTCTTACTAGTTTGCGTCATTCTTCGATAATACTATCCTTGTTTCTAACCGCACTTATGTCAAATTGACATATGATTAAATGGAAGTATTAAAACAAAACATAATCTCCTTGTGCTGTTATTGTCACGTTTGGCAAGCACGTACTGTACCTATGTCCATAAGCACCATACTGAATTTGGAGGTGCGAACGCGCTATAGATTACAACAGAAACACTTCCCAGCAACAGTGACTTTATAGAGACAGTAGCGACAAGTGTCTAATTTTTGATTGATCATTGAGATCGGCGGCCATATTGCATCGAATATATACAGAGTGAGATACAAATAAATAGGCAAAGAATTGCAGAATTGTATGTAGATTAAGTTTCCCTACAAACAACAAAATTATGGTCCAAAAACCGAAAACTGTCATTTCCAAAGATGAGCTGGCGTTTATTTATTTTCAAAGATATAAAAAAAAATAGTTTTAACAAACTCTTAATAACTTTTTGTGTTTTCTGATGGTGCCAAAATAAAATTTTTATCACTTGTGAGTTTCGAGTAAATCACATCAACTTTCTTATTTCTTATGGACGCCATATTGGATTATTGTTATTCGATAGAAAAAAAATTACAAAATCAGCGATACCAAACACTTAGTATTTCATTTGGGAATCAATCTTGTATTTTTGCCTCAAGGTTTACAATGTATTTCTAATGGCAATAATTCCATCCCCATACTAAACATCGGAAAAAACTCACCCTGTATATATAATATTGTATTGTAGTGTATGCCTCATACAAGAACCTTGAGTTTACGCTCTTACATTTATCGCACCTCTTTAGAGCCGCCCTGGCTTTAGGGCATATCCCTGTTGTGTACCTACCTACGTTGGGTCATGCTAAATATGACATGGCGAAAGATTACAGGCCCTATCATCGTTTCTTCTAAAAACGGTAGAGAAGCTGGTGGATGCATACCGTAAGGATGGGATACTGGTTCTTAGACCACTACATCCATTCCAAGATGCTTACAGGACTGGTATGTCCACGGAGACGGCTCTAGACAGCCTCGTGTGGAGGCTGAAAATGGAAATGTCTGCCGGGGTTAGCCCTGGGGGTGTTTTTAGATATGGAGGGTGCGTTTAATACCACCACGTTCGGTTCAAGTTGCTTTTGTTAACTATGCATGAAGTAAATATTATTATTATTATTGTCCTCAATTGGATCGATTACTAGAGGATATCTGCAGGGTGGGGTGTTGTCTCCACTGCTGTGGTGCCTGGTACTAGACGGGCTCCTCCGCACTCTGGACGAGGAATATGCGGAGATCGTTATAACTGGAAAGGTTCCAAACACAGTGAAAGAGCTTAGCTGGCTCTTGAACAGGTAGATAGGTGGTGCAGTAACCATGTTCATCATCCTATGGGCATGTAGAAAAGCTTTTGGTTGTACTTACATGGAGCTTAAACCCTCGACTGGTATATTGACATTACACTGTAGTGATAAGACCAATAATACTGTATGGTGCACTTGTATGGTAGTCTGTCATGAACAGGGCACCCTACAGGAAGCAGCTAGGAAAGGTTTAAAGACTCGCCTGTCTGGGAGCAGGGTTGGCATTTGGGTATTTGAGGTTTTTGTGGGTTTTTCTTAGACCATTATAGTACATGGACATGGAATTAACCCTATGCTTTCAATACAAAATGGGTGGTCACGGATAGAGGGCACTGTAGTCGTGGGTATGTGAATCTTAGGGTAAACTAAAGTCGTATGAACACCACTCGGATTGAGTAGAGTAGCTTTTATGGTAACCGCGTAGTAAGGGAAGTTTAAATACTCTTGATTATCCTCTATAGTCTATAAGTCCACAAATAAGAACAAGTTTGCTTTTTTTGCCATATCTAGGCGATTTGTTAATTTATAGGTTTCGAGTCTCAAATCGTATCTCATCGGACAACTTCGGACAGACTCGTTTACCCTGAAACACACATACCCAGGCGATGTCCTTGACCATATTTTAATTACAATTAGCAGTCCATGGTTTTTCTGGGCAATTGTTTTTGTATGATTTCTATGATTATCGTCCGCATTTATTGCGACGCCATCTGTTACAGGATACAACAAACACCTCAAAGCACCTAAAGTTATGTTGGTTCAAAAAAATCAAATAAACGTTCGCGTCCGCGTCCTCTTAATAAAAAGTTAGAAAGCCAACATTTAATAGTTTATCATTAAAAGGTTATAGAAGTATTTTTTTTCTAATCGAAGACTCTTCCATTATATTTATGCAATGTATGTCCTTTGCAAAAACTGAAAAATTATAAAACCCGGGTTTTTGTTACGAAATGTTTTTGTAAAAAAACCCACCCGGTTTTTGTTGGGTATTTGTACTTTGGGTTTTTGGTTGCCAACCCTGTCTGGGAGTCCTGAAAACCACGCTAACTTTGTCCGTGGAGGCACTTCTGGGACAAGAGCCTTTACACTTAGCTGTGGCGGCAGAGGCTCGAAAGTCTTCCATACATACGACTAAAACGATTGGGACGAGTAGAAGGATCAAGGGAACCTTACGCACGTGCGGTTCTGGGAGAAACCCTCAGATCCGATTCCCTCCTCGAAAGAAGGGATGTGATCCGGGCTGTCTTACTAAGACCAAAGAGTTTATAAAGTCATTTCTCATTTCATTTAAATGCTTTAGTCCAGTCAAATTAGCTCTAAAAGTAGTATAAACTGGATGTTGTCATTTCACTGAACGAAACCAAGCGTATTCTATGTAAAAAAATCCGCTGAATCGGAAAATCATAGTCCCCCCGGCCGGAAACGCCCGGAACATATTGTTATAAACAAAAAACGAAGAAAAAATGGGAAAATGTCGTGTTTTTTCACATTTGACTGCCAATATCTCGTTAACTATTGCTCTGAGGGAAAAAATGAATAGAAATGAACTTGTTTAGAATAAAATTTTCTATAAGATACAGTTGGTCCGGAACGCTCATTTTCAACTGTTATTGTTTTTTAGGGAAAAATGTAAAAACAGTAATCTCTAAAATTAACACTTTGTTATTGTTAAGTAAAATTCATTCGATCTTTTTGAAAATCCGTATTTAGTAACTACTTTTGATAACAAAACAATATGACAAACCAGATCACCGTAGGTTTCATACTCATTGATTAATTAGATAAACAAGTAGAAAAAGAGATGCTTTGTCTTTCAAACTGGGGGAGTACAAGAGTGTTCTCAATTTTTTTATACATATTATAACCCTAAAACAATCTTTTCCAATAATTGTCCCGATGATTCCTGCAAATCGACGGACTGTGCAATTTTTTTTTCAAAATCCGAAGAATTTTCTTAGTTAACAAATGGAATAACTCCCGAAATATAACAAAAAAATATAACTCTATAATAGGCGAATGTAAAGCTCTCGGAAAGCCGTACATTAAAAAAAATACGTCCAAATCCGATTAATAGTTCACGAGAAATCAGCTTTTGACTTTGAAGCCAGTTTTCGAAACAACCAAAAATGATTTTGCAAATCGGGTCGCACCGATCGATTCTTTACAGCGTGAACTTTTTTCATGCTTCTATTTCACCAAAATGAATGATTTTTATTAATCCGAGTGCCAAGGGCCGATTATAGAGTTACTTTTCTTGTTAAATCTCGGAAGCTATTCGATTTGTTAGTTAACTAAAAAAATTCCACAGTCCGTTGATTTGCAAAAATGATCGGGACAATTATTGGAAAAGATTGTTTTACGGTTCCCTCCGAGCAATAGTTAACGAGATATTCGAAGTCAAATGTGGAAAAACACGACATTTTCCCATTTTTTCTTTGTTTTTTGTTTATAACAATATGTTCCGGGCGTTTCCGGCCAGGGGGACTATGATTTTCGGATTCAGCGGATTTTTTTACTTAGGATACGCTTGCTGTCGTTGAGTGAAGTGACAACATCCAGCCCAAACCGTAATTTGACTGGACTATTCCAAAATAAAAAAGTTGGCACTGTACATGCGCAAAATCAAACTTTGAAACTGGCGTTTAATTTTCTTTATTCCAAGTGCCTTATGTATCAAATTTCGGACAGACCAACAGACAGACGACAGACAGCAATACAAAATTATAAACGATCTCTAGGATCGTTAATAAACGACAAAAGTGTAAAATTATGATACATGCAAAGAACGGTTTTTTGGTTTTTTACAATAACTTGTTTTAGCAATAAACGCAGAAAAAATTCCTTCCTTGGTGCAAGTCTCGACACCATAACGAACCAAACAGCGAAAAAAGTAGAACAAAAGCTCTTAAAGAACTAGTAGCGTCTCAACGAACGAGCGAACGTACAAAGTGGCCACAATAGCGCTTTTTTTTTTATTTTTGTGGAAATGCGCAAGGCAATTGCAAAAAAAAAGCTCCAGGCAAATTTTTAAACTTTTTAAACGCCCTCAAAATTTCCACAAGAAGTGGCGCAGACAAGTCTCGCCACAACAGAGGGGCAACCACCACCAAATATTTCGTCATAAGTACCATCGTCAATTGGAAAAACCACACACAAGAGACGATGTTTTTCAGCTATTTTCTGATATGCTTAGAAATGGGTTTATTCAATTACAATTAATTACAATTTTTCTGTTTAACAAACCTGGTGGTAAAAAAAGATTTATTGGGTGCCTTTTTGGGTTCAATTTAAAACGCTAAATATAGTTTGCTCGTGGGTACGAGATCCAGATACAATAGCAGTAGATGCATTTACTTTGTCATGGCAGGGATTGCGATATGATACGCGTACTACAAAAAATTATAGCAGGCAAGGCTGAGGGTATAGTAGTGATATGTACCACATTGGCCAATACAACCTCAATGTTAGTGCAAGAACCAATTATTTTTTCCCCAGAACCTAACTTGTATTGTTTTCTCAAAACTGACCTCGACACCCACTTTCCTTCCCTGGTGGCACGACTATTATTGTACAGGCCTGCATTCCCTCATTGCCAGTTCTTTAATTGAAATGTTTCAAAAGCCACAATAAAGTAATATACCTGTGAACTCAAAACGTTTTTTGAGTTATTGTGCAAACGGCCGAACGTTCACCTTTTTTGATGTTATTGATAAAGTAACTGGTCGCAATACTCGTGCTACTTAATAAATAAAATATCCTTGCAGTTTACGACTATTGACTAAATATCAATATCAATTGAAGAAAGGAACACTATTTTTTAAATTTTGATATAGGATATCATTATTCGATAGGCAATCCTACCTTTATATCAGGACATGGCATCATCTGTATGTTAGGTTCAGGCTGCAGCACTAAGATTTGGCTCAGATCATCCGGAAAACTTAATAGACTAGATAAAATAGATACTGCTTCAGATCGAGGCGTGGCCGATGAGATATCATTTGAATTTAGAACACTATTACATGCTTGAATGAGGTCAAGTAGCAACAAAGATGAGCCTGGCAGTTGTAAGGAAAGAAATCGAGGTCCCAAGTATCGCAGGACAGTATTTAGTGCAGACTTTGAACTTCCACACAATGCTGCAAGCAAAAAATCAGGCAATTCGAAATTTCGCAATTACTCTTACCAATATGCAGAGATCTGTAAAAATGTGGTAAATATGTTCTATGCTGTGGATCACAGTTGAGAGTAATGGTGCACAGTAACCGAAGAGCGCTCAGCTTTCCCGGCTCGTACGAACTTGGTAGATTGAGCGCTTCAAAACACCAAGGTAGTATCAGAGTTAGTGGCGGTACCAGCTCGGGTGATGGCGGAGTACTTTGATTATCGGAAGAAACACCTTGATTATTTTTAATTTTAATAAGCGTATCGATCAATTTAACAAAGTAGTCAAATACTTGAGCGTGTAACTTAGGATCGGCTATCTGATTAACGTCACCAAGGGCCCCTAACATACGTTTCCACAACACAACGGCAACATCTGGTAGCCAACCACGAACCGTACCGCCACATACAACACCACGATGTTCGCCGGACACTTCCTGCAAATTATTTTCTGTTGCCAAAACGTCTAACTGGATCGGCGAATCTTTAATGGAGGTACTTTCAAGGCCACTGGATGGCGCTGGACTAGGCGATCGCGTTCTGTCAACTGACTCGACGTCAGGTTGTGGTAAAGTATCCAGCGAGCGGGAACGTTTTATGTGCCGCTAAAATCACAATTTTACTAAAGGTAAAAGTAGTTTTGTACAACATACATCCATCCGTTGTAATTTTCTTTTCATAGTCAAGTTTGTTTCACTAAAACTTCTCGTTAACCCAGGTCGTAATCGTTTAGTCAAACTCTGCCCATCTGGCACTGTGGAATCTTGTCGACAAACCGGATGATGGCCCGTGTCACTCGTTCCACATGGTGTGCTACTCTCCGGTCGGCCAATGCTACGCCTTGTTCTACGCGATTTTTGGTCAGATAAACGATCCAGAGGCAAATCAGACAGATCCAAATTATAAACGTGCCTCGCTAATACGCGCGTTAAGGTGTCGAGAGTTTTCTGCGAAAAGGATCTGAAGATCTTCAACGAAGATTGCTGTACTTACCGCCCATTCCTTTATTAACTCCTCCCAACGCGTGAGGGAAGTGAGAACCTGTACAAACCGGTCCCACAGTTCTCTTGATATCATTACGTTCAGATTAGCTTTGATCCATGTCACGATTAGAGTTTGAAAAATCGCGGGGGCTAATTTTCCTCCTAAAGTTTGGGTCTTCTTTTTTACAGGGATTTCGGTGAGTACCAGTGAGGTAATTTGGAGCAAGACCAACAGAAGCTGTTCCCTGAAATGTTTACATTGACTTTGTAATTTAAAGGTACATGTGTTTTCGAATAAGTCAATAATCTAATGTTTGTTTGTGATTTCGGGCTCACCACCAGAATAGTGGTGCTCATGCTCATAAAACCAATCCCCGGACGTGCGCGATAGGCACATACGGGCATGGCAAACCCAGCATGCTCGAGCTGGGGACGACTGAGCACCTGATGGACCGGAGAGTAACCCATGACTGGAACTTCCTATGAGGCATCTTCCGCATCCCACAGTATAAACATGGATCTGACAGTTAATCAAAATGCTACCACTAACTCAGGGGTAGAAATTAAGGGCCTTAAGAACTTGACCGAAACCCCTGCTTGTTCTGGCAGCGAGTGAACCAGAGAACAAAGGCATACTAAACCAAAGTTGTCCAAGATTCAACGCCAAAAGTTAAAGCTGCTGGCAAAGCAACAAGGTAGAGTGAGCGGTGTCAAGCTGCCCCCCGCAACCAAGAAGATCGCCTCAAAGGAGACGCTTAGGCGGTATTGATTCTCAAGAGAATAAAAAGCGACTAAAAAGGTCACAGTTTCCTATTATAAACACGTGAGTGTACATCGGATATGGCTAATCTATCAATTGTAACAGTGTCAGATTTAATAGAAATAGGTATAATAGTAACATTGAGCTAAGGACTTCCATCATCCGTAACACTAGCGAAAATAAAATCTAGAACTATTCGTTGTTTATCAGGCAAACCATTAACAGGAGTTTCCGAAATTAAAGAGTCATCTCCTCGGATAGAGGACTTAACTCTTAGTTCCCTGGTTCGGGTTACATGTTGGACACTTACGCTTAATTGCTACAGGTCAACCACAACCGAAGCAATGTATCTTCTATGGTGTTGTACAATAGGGGAGAGGTGTCCTGATTGTTAACAGTTTCAACATCTAAAAGTTGAGTTTGAAGAAGGAGAAGTAATGTATTATAACCACATTCTATTCATACTGATACCAACGCCCCTTTTTGGGATAATGCAAAATAAATCATGTTTTTTATTTTTCCTTGTGCACTAGAAGTACCTGAATGTACCTTTCTATATTTATCCCTCTCTCTTGATCTTTTTTTTAATTTTTCACGTGCGCGTTACTTTGTCCTTTAGAGATTTTGCACTCGTGGTGATTGCTTGTAAAATTTTAACACGCGTTTACTTGACTTGACTTGAATTATTGCTTTCCATTAAATGTTAATTACGATTTTTTGTGCTCGAGTTACCCGACGCACCAAACGTTAATTTGCTTCGCATTTATATGCCATGCTACTACTCCCTCTCTTTTGCTTTGTGTTTTATCTGATTGCAACTACTGGCAGAAAGCGCCCTTCTCAGCTCGGAGGGATTGCGACCCGTTAGTTAATATTTTATTTAGTTGTTTTTACGTGAGCTTAGTTTGAATGAATCTTGATTATCGATACGTCCGAATTGTAATTAAAATCTTTTTTTTGTGAGTCATTAAACAATTATAACTCCTGCGGAAATATATTTCCATAATTATTTGTACTACAATAATTATTTATAAATATATTTATAACTTGAGACAAAAGGTGCAAGTTCAGAGACTGTACAAGCGTCGATTCCGGTCTTCCATTTTCTATAACACTAAGTAGGGCTGGTTAATTAATTTATTTTTACTTTGTTGAATATCCTTAGAAGAATCACCCCGACCTAATAAAACTGTCAACTCCAAGGATCCTGCTTTTGATTTTCCGTAGCTACAGTTAATTAATTCATGCTTTCTTGCTTGTGTTCTCGATAAAAAAAAATTGCTCTTTTGCTGTGGGTCGTAATTTATTCTGCTTTTAGATTTTTTGCCAGTCAAATACCTCTGAGATTCCTAGAGTTAACCGTTTTCTACAGCTGATTGCCCGAGACTTCCGAGACCGTTTCGCAAACCGCTACTGCCGCCGACCTTGATCAGGGGCAAGGCAGCATCACATCCAAGTTGCCGCCAATCGCCACCAGTGTGATTTATTTGCAATAATTTGTAAATTAATCAAGATGAACTACACCGATTTTGATGAGCCAATTACTGATGATGAAGGTTTTTTGGAGCTAATGCAGCTGTTTTTGGACGATGAAGAAGAACCTCTCGTTCCAAGCAATTTCTTTATTTGCTCGTCTACATCCGTCGTTATTATTTTTTATTATACCTGAATCACAATCTCCGTTTTAAACACTCAAATGCGTGCGAAAAAAGGCCTTTAAAACACACGTGCTTTAAAGTTGCTAAGTAACGATACTTCAAGTATGAATTTTGAAACTGTCATCTGGATGAAATAAAAAATCCTCTTAGGTCGCTTTCTGTAAATGCAGAACATTTCTTTGGCTTTTGTACCTATCCTTTGGTTGAAGCTTTCACAAACGCGCGTAATTTAAGGTATGCTTCCAAATCTGTTCCACTTTTTTATCGCAGCATTGCTTTAAAGTTTTGAATTAATGCACCAAAATATAGAAGATTTAAATACCTTTGACATTTCCTTCATATATGCCAGCATTATCGACGCATTTAAGACTGTATTCGTAAGTAACTTTCCTATTCATCCATGGAAACAACTTCTCATATTCTTTATAATAGGCTTTACTGGAGTTGGATTTTACACCTACCAACGTTTGTTTAGATTTTACAACAATCGATTTAATGGGCGGTGTAGTATCTTTTTCAACGGAAATCGTTTAATTCACAAAGACGATGATTTTTGTAAGCAAACGTCAAGTGACATTTCCATGGCAATCGTGAAATTACGAACACCCAGCCCACTTAATTAGACATGTATTCGAGTATAACGTCAATATGACTTCATTGTATTTCCTATTTTTAAATTATACTGCAGGTATAATAAAAAAATACTATAAGATACACGTGTATAATTGGTCTTTAAAGCACTTGCAACGTTAAAGGCACTCCGCTTTGCGTCGTGCCCTTAAACTCGTTGCGCGTGCTTTAAAGACTTGGTTATACACTTGTATCTTAATATACTATTCTTCGCTGGCCCTCTCCCAGTAGCATTTAAATATCTCGTTTCATTTGCAAATTTTTTCTTTGAAACCTTTTTTATATTTTCATATTTCCTTCTGAGTGTTTTCGCATCCCTTCCTTGACCTCCTGCAGCATTAAACTCCCCAGCCAGTTGGTTCCATGCGGCGTCTTTGATACGGTTATTAAGAACGTCGGTTTTATTACACTCTATTGTTGCTCGAAACTTTTTGACGAGCTGCAGAAGCATCGCTTCTTCAGTTGGATTGAAGTTTACAGATCGCGGTCGCTTCCGTATTAAATCAGCATTCTCCATTTCCAAACGGTGTTACTAGCCACGAACAAAACAAGATACACGCTTGTAAACAAACCAAATTTGAAGTTTGAATAGCGTAAACGTCAAAATTTGAGCGGATTACAGTGTTGCCACCAATAGAAATCTCATTAAACACAGTTTAGTTAAACTCTCCCTAAACTGCAAATGAGCAACGCAATAAAAGATAAACTGTGGATTATCTTAAACTACAGATTATCTAATCTGCAGTTTAAACCGTGATTGAACAACCGGCCCTTATTCTGCTAATTTCGTCGCAAACATAGGGAGAATTGTATTGTATGGTCACTTTTAAGAAAAACCCATTCCTCCTACCAGGTCACAGTTGAATGAAAAGACACCTTCAGAATACGGGCCTCAAAGTAGAGGGAGAAAGTCCTCTATATATACCGGTTTCTGGACGGAATATGAACATACATGGTAATGCCACAAATGCTGCTCCCAAGAGGATTCTCGATGTCTTCAAATATATTGACATCAACAGAAACCCGAGACAGAACCGAATCAAATGACCTTGAACTTGGCGCATGCACAGATTTCAAGGTCAAAGAATCGATGTTGTTTCCCTACTAATTTAAAATAAAATGGCGCATTTAGGAAAAAAATATATACAAATCTTTGCACTAAGAAAGTAAAAGTAAAACTGCAAAAATGAATACGCAACCTACCACGTGTTACTGTCCATTCTTGTGTGCATCACCATATAACGATAAATATTTAAAACACGTTTGCAAGCGTCCGTCTGCTCTTCTAACATAGTAGGAAAGTGTGCACTAACTTCCAACAAGAACACATTCGCCGCATGCGTCATGAATGCTTGCAAAACACTCTAAAAGGCAACCATCAGTAACCGACCGACTGTGCAAATATTTCTGTATACCTGCAAACCTGCGCGAACCAACACATTTTCTTTATGTATGGCGCCAAGATAAGAATCGGTCCTAAGCCGCCGATGCCCATCTCCGGGCTCATCGGACGCGCGCGGTAAATCGTCTAAAGGCTCGAGAATATACGGCGGCAATTCGGGAATATTCGACTGAATCAAGTCCTTATACACCGATATGGTTTTTCGTATGGCGATCGTGTGTCCGAAATTGAGTAAGAACGCTTGTCGGTAAATTTCATGAACGAAATTCACATTATCCCTCGTGCTACACAGCACTTCTTTAGCGATCTGTGCTGCCAAGTCTTCATCACTAGCTGCTTTCGTCGACTGCAATGACACTGCAAAGACAAAGGCGTTAGAATTCATTTACCTACACCGTGCGACACGCTTACAGTAGTCTAGACTGGGATGAGCCGATTCCAACTGATCTTCATCATGTAACGCCGTAATGTGGGAGGACGGGATAGTCTGCGTGCTTATTGAAGTTAAATTTGGATCCGTAGCTTTTTTAATGTGTTGCATATAGGTAGCTACCCATTTTATAAGTGTCACTCGACATGCTACAAATTCGTTATCCGCCTCTGCTTTCCTCGTAGTTGGCAGCTCTGCAAATTCTGCACTACACTTAAGTTCAACCACAGATTGCACTTACCCAAGTTCAAGTTGTACAACGAAGTTTCGTAGCAAAAGTTCGGGCACAATTTAGGCAGATAGTAAACTTTAAATTTTTCTAATAAGAAATTAAAGCAGCGGTGATACCTCGACATACGATCCTGCCACTCCAAACGAACAACCGTGCTAACCATGTAATCTAACATTGTTTCTAAAAATAGTTTACTGGGATGCTCTGGCAGTTTTTCTCCACTCGAGGGTGGTAGAATGGGTAGTATTTCGGCAGGTTGTATAGGCAGCTGTGTAGCATCGTGAAATATGCTGCTAGTACTTTGCGTAAGTATATTTGTACTGTTGGCGAAACCGGGGACCAATGACGCGTACATCTCGTGAACGTAATCGGGCGCGTTTTCATCTAACGCTTGGTACCACATCAGAAAATATTTTATCGCTTGGCGCCGGAGACGTACAGTGTTGCCAGGATGCAGCAGTTTTGCCAAAATGCGTCCTAAGGAATGTATTTGCCACCGTTTGTGCAGCAGTTCGGGTAAAAGCGAAAGAATCTGTTCCAGTATCCATAGCACGCATTCTAATTCTTCTTTGTGAGCCTTATGTACTACAGAAGAGAATTACAATTACAATGGACCATTCTGATGGTATGCTTTAACACAATTAACTTACCTAAGTGAAACGACAGCTCTGATACCAACAAAGAAAAAATTATTAGTGCGTTAATGAATATAAACTTAAATTTATGTCAGAGCTTTACCATTTCATTTGTTTAAAAGTGAAGTAATAGAAGTTATGTTATGTTCTGAAAGACGAAGGAGGAATGAAGCACATAATTATGTCAGAAAGCAATTTGGATCACTTGAGGGAGTATCTCAGGGACTAAATCTGAGTCCACGGTTGATGTTTATATTACATATAATATTTAAAAGAACAATCGTTTTGTAAATTAAATCAGATGTGCGCATGCGCTGCTTGTGCATTTGGAATTTTAACCACAGATGCTTCTAGTGGAAGGGAACATATCCCATAGAGTAAAAATCAGCACATGCGCAGACTGCGTAATGCCAACTTTCTTATTTACGGATATTTTTTGAAATATTAACCACAGCACAGGGGGTGGGTTTTTATATACAATTAAATGAAATCAGGTGAAGCCTGATAGTTGATTGAATTTAAATAGGGCGCCATAAAACAATCCTTGACAATTAATATGTTAGTATATCAAATATGCTTATATAACTCGAGTCATTAAATACAACAATAACTAAAAATGTGCATAAATAATATTAGATAATTAATTGTGTAAAAAACTTTCGAAGATATCCGGAAAACAAAAAAATTTTGTAAAATCGTTTTTATTTTATACTAAAGTTATTTTTTAAAAAAATTTTAAAAATAATTAACACATTATAATGGCCACTTTTTTGATTTTCTCTGCATTTGTACCTACCTGCATGATTACAGTTTCTTTGTTCCAACCCAACAAACATTAACACTAACAAAACCAAAATACTTTTCTTGGTGTAGATATCATGTGAAATATTATGTAATAAACTGTGCTATACAAGTTTTGTATAGAGGCAGGGTAGAACAACAAACTATGAAGGGATTCTTGAATATATTGTTACTGTTCAGTCATTATATGTGGTTATGGGATTCTTCTGTGGGGGTCATTCCGATAAGTTAAATGATTTGCTAATAATACAACAAAAATTGTTAGAATAGTAGGTGGTAAGACAAATAAACATTTTTTATTGGTCAAATTTTTGGAACCCGTAACAATCGCAATCACTTGCTTTCAATTACAATCTCGTTTCTAATCATATAAAATGCTTTGTTAATAATGAATGTGTTAGTTTTGCCAAGTCTGGTAAAGTAACAGGAGACAGGGCAAGTAGGTAGGCATGAAGTGTTCTACCACTGTCATGGAAACGAAAATCTCCTAACCTAAAGTAGGCATAAAAATGAAAGTACTTTCAGAACACAACATTGAAGATAGATACATCGGTTAATAACGGACAAAGAGATATATACATTTACACACAACGTACATATAGTGTGGACAAACACGCTGTTTTTACAGATTAGTTTTAATGGTAACGCTCATAAAGCACACTGCTTATCTATGCCCCTTACCCCTTTGCCTCAAATGCGTCTCTGCCTCCATAAAACACTCATAAAGTATATGATACACATGACTGAAATTTGTTTCAAATATTCCTTTCGCTTCGGCAGTATCGACATTATCTAAAAAAAAATTAACAACTTTAATGTTACAAACATAACCTCAATTGGAAGTTAAAATTTTAACTAAAACCGGCACTCGACTTACCCAAAATTATTTTTAAATGCTTCAAACGTGTAGTTAAATCCTTTTTGATGTCCTGAATTTTTGATGTTGATTTTTTGACGTCCAAATGAGATTTTTTACTAAACATTTTTTGTTTTCGTTTTATCCGTTATACAAATAATTGTAAATATTGTTGGTATGTAAATAAAACATTTTTTTAAGAGGAAAATTATAATATATGTTTATATTTTTTAGTTTTACGTGATTTACACATTTTTTCTAGTTGACGTGAACGTAATGTGAAATGTCAACAAACACTTAGGCGATCCATCTGTAGCTACAATGTTGGTATACAGGTAGACTACCATGGTATCGAACCATTCCCATAGTCAGAGCTGGGTAAAATACTTTCCAAAATCTCTTCAAAATAGAAAATACAAAATAAGAAATGCGAATTTATTTTAAATACTAGATACTAAATAGGTTTGGTATTTCTATTTAAAATACCAAATAGAAACTAAGTACCTATTTGTATTTCAACTAAATATTTGAAATAAATATACCTATACCTCTCGCCAGGAAAGATTGCCGGTCACAGAACACTTGATCCCGGTCTACAATCTATGTTTTTCTAAAGACGTGAGCGACTTCCGGGATAGTATCGTGTCAATGTTGAACAAAAAGAATTTATTGTAATATCTATGTTTTAATATAGGTACAGGGTGGTCATTTGAAAACTTCCCACCCACCCAAGGTCATTCTCTTAAAAATGTTAAATGACAAGTGGTATCAAGCAATAGCTTGTTTGAAAGGTCTTTCGAAGTCCTTTATTTTGACGTTTGATTTTTTAAAATCGGTAGACTCGTTTTCAAGAAAATTAGAGAAACCTATCTTAATTTGGTCCAGAATAGAAAACAAAAACAAACGAAAATATCACTTATTCGTTGCTATGGGAAAGAAAGAATTTAATTTGCTGTCAGTTACCTTTGTGACAATCTTGGGATAGTGAAAATTAATTTATTGATTCAGATTTTACTTAGGTACACACTAGCCCAAAGAGTGGAAATTATTGTAATTTATATAATGCCCAAAATCAATGTGCTTGACAAACTGCCGTCACGTTTAACCCCAGACATCCGAGGAAGATAACTTTGCATAGGTATGTGTTGGACCTTGTTACTAAATTTACTGGATCTGTTGCAAATAAAAATAAAGATTTTTCTCGAAAACGAATCCACCCGATTTTAAAAAATCAAACATTCAAATAAAGGACTTCGAAAAACCTTTCAAACAAGCCATTACTCGATACCATCCACTACCATTTAAAATTTTTATGGGAATGACCCTGAGGGGGAGTCCGTGGTGGGAAGTTTTCAAATGATCACTCCGTGATGAAGCAAAAAATAAGGGAGACAACAAATAATAATGTAATTTAAAACAAAAGGTTGCACATTGAGAGACCATACAAGAAATGAGATATTTGGCGAACATAATCTGAACAATTGAAGACCATATGGAACAAGAAAGTAGGTGGACTGGAAATATGGCGACAATGAACACAGAACAACCTGCAAGCCTAATCCCTGAAGAAGGAGAAGATAGATACTAACAAGCAAAGAATAAAAGAAAAGAGAGGACTTTGTCAAAAATCCCTTCATGCGTCACCATTTTGTTAAGATGTTTTATATTTCTCATACAAATAGCGATAATTTGAAAAGTATGTTTTCGCTTGTTTTAAAAATACAAATTTATATTTAGTTCTAGTTTACACTGTGTTTAATTCAGCAATACAAGCGGAATAACCACAACAAATAAAGTGAACTCCCAATTTCTTTTCAAGAGCAATTAAAATTATGCACTGATGGTTAGAATCTTTCATACAGAGACGTTACAAATTAGTTCAAATATGCTTTATACGACAAAAATAAATTAATTGTAAAAAATTATAACATTTTTATGTACTTATTAATACTAAACTTCTCAAATTAATGTTGATAAATTATAATCTGGTAATAGTAGTTACCAGGAAGTAAAACAAAAAAGTCAATGTACTAATACAGTAATTATACTTTTATGTATAAATACTTAGGTAATTAAGTTCACTTAGAAGTATATAACAAACCAGACTTTGTCTAGCCAACAATTCATTATTGCATCACTAGAGGAATTCGATAGACATCTTGATAAATATAATTTAAAGCCGATGTTAAGATTCCAGCCTCTCTCGCAGCTAATCTGTTGACTAAAAATTCTTCTTCTACAGACGTCACAGCTCTCATTAGAACATTTGTGTTATCCTTGTCATTTGATTTGTCGTTTGCAATTGGTGTTGTAGTTGTAAGTTGGTTACCATCGGTAGTGGGAAGAGCACCACTTGGTGGGGGTGTTTTAGGTTCTCTATCTGCTGTGTGCCTCACTCTGGAATGGCCCTCTTTATAATCTAAAGAATACAAAAATTAAGAGTAAGTCTACAAATCACAATGTGCATACATAGTCTAGTTAATTCCTTAATTAAAACCTGTTGCTCTTGCAGTTGTAAAAAGAGTTCTTGCACTTGTCCCTTTAAATCATCCAGATCATTCTGTTTATTCTCTTCAATTAGTGCCTCTTTCCTTGAAGACCTAAACATGTAAATAATAAAAGAGTCTTAATTTGTATCAGTTATACAATTAACCTCCTCCATTCAAATATAAGTATAGATGCTGCAATAGAAAATATAATTCCTTCTCCTAATAAGTTTGCACCTAATTCTATAGCCATGGCTTCGCTAAGAACTGGAACACTCACTGGTTTGCCTAAATTGAGTATCCACATTTTCGTTTTGACTTCGCACCAATTATAAACTACAAGAAAAACAATTGAATATCCAAGGAACTTTACATAACCTAACTTACATTGAGCTGGTGGCATACAAATATAATTCCTGAAGAAAGGTGATTCCTTCGCACGATGTATGATAAAGTTTGCTAAGGGTTTACTAATTTGTTTTATTAAAAGTGCACCGAGTTTCGCTGCTGGGAAAGCTCCAATTACCATTGTTTTGTATATTTTTAATAAAGTAGCACAAATATCAGCTGTTTAGTTACATAATGTAGAAGGCCGATCGCTACGAAGTAGGTGTACTTACCAGTTGATTAGAACTACTTAAAAATTTGTAACGAAGCAGTGGCGGCGAAAGTGGGGCACTAGTGGTATTACTGAGATTTGCATTATCGTCATTGACCATTGAGTAATTCTTCACTCAACGGTAAAACGCTTTCCATATTCCATTGTTTCTTTGGGTTGACCCGATTCTTCGAGTTCTCTAATTTCAGATGCTTGGAATTCCTTCTAGAATCATAACTTTTAGTTCTCTAATTTTAAGATTTTTTGTTTCGGAATCTGATTCTGATACGAATTTTTCGAAATTTTTAAATGCTGGATTGTTTCAAATTTTCACAACGTTTCCAAATCTTTTATTAAATTATGTTCCAAATTCCTCAATCGTACCGTTATTTGGATTCGTGCTTTTCTTCGAATTCTTCTCTTTAAATTTTGTCTATGCTTTGGAATCCTCGGGATTTCCAAATTATTCTTATTATTCGGACTTTCAGAATCTTCAAATTGTAGGTACACATTTGTCAAATCAGTTTATTAAGATTCTTGGAAATCTTTCGTTTGCTTCGAGTTTTTCCGATTTTTGCAACGGTAGTTGCATTGCATTTCTTTCACTTGCACAAACAATCCGCGGGCATACCGTGTACGAAGGTAAATGAAACAATAGCATTTATTTATTTATTATTGTAAAGATTTTTTCTTAAACACAGCGTTGAAACTGTTGAAAGAAAATACACGCTAGTAAATGAGGTAGCCGAAATACGTAATTAGAAAACACATTCAATTAGATTTGACCAACAATGCCTGCGCTACTATTACAAGACAGATCTCAAAAATATGACAATGACAGCTAAATAAGTGTCTATTGGCGCATTTGAACAGAAGGCGAAACATTTGTCGTTTCGTTAAGCCACCCTATAGATGGATATAGTTTGTAGCACAAATACAAGACAATGAGCATTGTTCTCTTAAAACTGGGAACTATTTTGGCCCATCAGTTCACCAAACCTTTCGCTTACTATCTGACAGAAAAAGCGAAGAGGTCCAGATTGTTTCGGAATTATGTCTGCCTACCTTCGGCACGTAGTAGGTACAAAATGAGTCTACTTTCTCCTTTAGACTTTTATTCTTTTAGTATTCCATTGGGGCGAAGTAAAAGCAAAAATGTGGATGCTAAGTTTAGGAACGGCAGTACAAATTCCGATCAGAAATGAAAAAATGGCAACTGAATTAGGTGCCAATTTGTTTGCAGAAATTATAGTCTTCGGTACCATTTCATCGATAGTTATAAATGAATACGTTCGGTAAGTATACGCACTCAAATAATACTTATATTATATGCATTTATACACCGTACGAGAAATTACATTCGGTATACGTTCTCGTTACTTTGATGTATAGGTATGATATTCTTTTCTAATTATTGATGGCAGATAAGTAACGCTGACGTTACTTTAACTGGACAAGTTCGGTGATTCGGTTTTAAGGTCTGGCGTCACATTTCCACCTTACCTTTTATGATGTTTGCAGGTGAAAGTTTCTACTACTTGTTTAAATGAAAATCTAGCTACACTCTTAAATTTTGCCCATTGATCCTACGACTGGTCTTTAACTCTCTGGTTCGATTCAAATTTATCATTTTACGCACTACAACTACTCTGGAGCTTAGCGCCTCCTTGACTTGGCGTGGCGACCGCGCTTACGAACTGTTTGACTCCGTAGCTACCCGCCTAATAATATTTGCGAGTCCCATAAAGGGCTGCTTTATTTGTTTCGGACCGCGCACCCCAACGGTTTCGCAGTCAAAGACGAAATTTTGATCGTACTGCTTCGCTGCTACAAGCATAAAAAATCAAAAATCTCTTTCTGATTCATCCCTACTTTCTCAATTTTTACAACCACACCTTCAAAATGAATGCTGATGGGTTTCAGCCACCAACAAATTTGAATCAGTCAATTTTTTGCGTTACCTTTGGCTGAGGGGCGCTATCTACTTTCTCACGCAATTAATAGGCAACGACTGCATCCGGCAACCATTGATCAACAAATCGATTACGAAACCATTGACTTAAAAAACCAGCCATATAATAAAACCACCCTGTAATACCCCATAATACTCAACCCCTAAAACCCCCGTAAAAATTTAAATGCGTTCGCGGTTTCCCGTTACAAATTGCGTAAAAGCAAAATTATTATTAAAATAAGTTGTACGTAAATATTTTACTATTACACTTTTTACTTATGTTTCAAATGTTTTCAAATTCAGTTTTTTTAAATTTTCTGTAGATTACAAGATAGTAATATAGATCCGTCCTTATCTTATTATGCTAGTTCGACTATTTAGGTCCAGGTATATCGACTCTCATTTCATAATTTTGCATCCAAAAAACATATTGCAGAAAGACACTCTCCTATTTTTACAGGACCAGAAAGAAAGATGCTAAAAAAGAAGCTAGAAGAAAGCAGATAATTGTGGATTTAAAACAGAAATTAGAAGAACTTTCGACACAAGTACAACATCACCAGGGCCAGTTAGAGGAGTTATTAAAATTGTGTAAGTTTAAGAAAAATGTGCAGTATTATGAAACCCTCTACGCAATCATTTGAGCAAATCACTTTGTCAGTTAGCACTAGTCTGTTAATCAAACCTAATCAGGGCATATAACGGGCGATCAAAAATGAGTTGCTGTCGAGTCGCTTTTGGAAGTTCAAGTTAAGTACGATTTCCCATGTCGTAAACAAAAATTCCAAAGGTAACTCGACAGCAACTCATTTTTGATCGCATTGTATATATTAAACAACTACCACTAGGGGACACCGAACCCAGTATCTGTGTCATTCTGAAAGCTAGACTCCAGTGTAAAATTTTTGGGGTGCCCCAGTCGCCGCACTAAGACACCTCTCGGACAGACCACCAAACAGAAATGTTTTTATAGTTTTATAGAATAGGATAATTTTTATATTCTGTGTGCCAAGTCGAGACTTTTAGAGTCTCCCAGTGACTCTGAAATTGGCAATTGGGGTGCCCCACTCGCCGCCGTCAGAGAAATCTTGAAACAATTGCCTACAACCTTTATACGCTTTCAGATAAATTTAACCAACCTTGGGTACTTATTATATTTCATTTTACAGATCAAGATGGATGAGTATGTAATCAATTCATGGTTATCCAACAAAATTCAAATGCTCATATGTGTATTAACAATATTAAAAATAAAATACAGAGTATAGTTAATTTAAAGTTGTTTGTAAAAACTTTTCGAACGAAATTAAATATTCTTGATTTCCTCCTCTTTCTGATCTTTTCCAAGGATTTCAAGAATTTCATACCTGCATCTTCCCCTATCCCTGTGATTTCTCTGTACTCTTTACTTCTACGTAGATCAATCGCTAAATCCCAGATCCAACTATAGTGTCGAAGTTACGAAAACACACGTCCGTCGTACCTATCGGTGAAATCGTTTTTTTCCGTTACACATGCAACAGGATAGTTAAGAATGTATTACGAAACACCACTAGCAGTTTCGGAAATCTGAGCATTGCACTAATGACATCATTTGGAAACTGGGCTAAAAAAAGGGCTCCACAAAACACATTTTTGGAACTAATGTTAAAGCCTAGTTTGCCTGGCATCCGATGTACGACGTCCGACGATCCGATAGTGTTCCTATTGGTTGAAAATTTTAAAAATGTCAAACGATCGTCGGAGAAGTTAAATCCATCAACATTTTTAAAATTTTCAGCCAATAGGAACACTTTCGGATGGTCGGACTTCGGACATCGGATGTCATGTGAACTAGGCTTAAGTACGTGTGAACAGCTTTGTCCACTGTCCTAGTCTGTTGTCGCCCGAAGCTGAGAGGAAGATGATTCACAACCCAAAACGCACGACTTAATTGACTTCATTTCATATTACTTAAATAATAACCGTTTCAAGAATGTAGATATCGCAGTTTCCAATTTCATAGTTTGCACCAAAACTTCATCTTCCATGCGTTTTGAAACCCCGCCTTCGCCGCCGTTGTTGCCTTCTGCGTCATACCCAGTTTTAATATAATACCGTCTTTGATTCAAATTACGTACGTAACCGTATTATTTTCTGTATTAAAGCTTGTTGCTCCTGCACTTGTACGTACAGATCTTCCAGTTCAGTTTTAAATTGATTAATTTCCTGTCTTCTTCCCGCTTCTTTTTTCGCTTCTTTTTGGGAGGCCCTTTAAATTTGATTATTTTTTAATGTTGCAGTTCACCAAACACCTACTTGTATAATTCATTGATAACTACTCCAGCCCCAATAGAGAAAACGATTAATTCTCCCAGCAAACTCGCCCCTAGTTCTATCATTTTCTGTTCATTAAGTACTGGTATAGTAATAGCTTTACCTAAAGCCAGCATCCACATTTTAGATTTCAGTTCTAACCAATTGTATGCTAAAACATCAATCAGCAAGGTTCTATTGTAGCGCTATTAAGTAGAAAACGTGTAACTGACCTTTGGCGGGAGGTAAACAGATATACCTTTTGAAAATCGGCGATTTTTTTGCTTCAGACGTGATTGCAATAGCTATCGGTCTACTAATTTGTCTAAGGAGTACACCAAAAAGTTTCGCAATGGGAAAGTGCATGTTTCATAGTCCAATTTTAGAACTTCAATCCATGATCGTGATAGACGGACATATGCCAAACGCTTACCTGTCAGTATACTGACATTATATATTATACAGTGTTGGGAATTGCAAACGAAACTGGGCTATATAGACACGACAACTTTCTTCCTGCTCCAAAAGGACCAGAGCGCATGTCAGTTAAAGTAGCAATGCTATTTCACCATGTAATACCTTGTGCCTCCAGTAAAAAGTCTTATGGTGGGTTTATACAATCATTATCATTAGGTACTATATTTACTTCACTATCATTAGAAATAGCCAATAGAAACAAAGGTATGGTTTCGTTGGTTAGTAGTAATGATTGTATAAACCCACAATTACTGTTTAAATGGAAACCCCCTTTCCCGTGATCACCAATATGGATTCTAAACTGAAAATGTAGGTAGAATTAAGTAGAATTTTTCAAGCCGGTAATGTAAAAACTCATCTATGGTGTGCTTGAATTGACAAGATGGCGATGGAATCTTCCCAATAAATTCACCAATCAGGTGAGTAAAAATCAAGAAAAGAGTAAGTCAGAAGTAAGAAGCCCAAAAATCATTATTCAAAGTCAAAAGGTAGTGCGTATAATTTTTGGTATATACCGAAAAAGGCCTTAGAACTCCGCAAACAGTGTCAGCGAAGTATCTAAAGCAAAATAGCAAGAGAAAAATGTTAACAATCTTATACAGTCACATAAATCCTTTTAACGGGTAAACAAAGATGTCGAGTAACCAATATGGCGTATAAAGAGCTGGGTAATTATTTCAAATGAATCTATTTTGAATAGGTAGATATTTAAAATACAAAATACTATTTTGCATTTTGAATAAACTATTTTATGTTTTGTATTTGAAATAGATTTCTCAAGGTTTTTTTTAAATGTTATATTTGAAACATTTCTGATTTCCACTTGTGTTATATTATGCTATTAGGTTTATGATCTCGTTTTCCGGATTTCATAAACTCCAAGAAGAATAAGTTTTACCGAATGTATGTCAGATACGCCACTGCAATTGAATAATTAAACAGTACCAACCTAAAATTTTTTGCGGTAAATTCAAACCAATCCTCGGAATAGGTAAATTACAGATTACTTTACTATATCATTTTAGGCTTATTGATATTGATATTGTAGCCCTACAGGATACATGGAATTAAGAGGTAGATATCCATGCGAATTTTTTTATCTTACAGGATACCCATTTTAAACAAGTTGTTCATTTTACTCACAGATTAAGAGCCTCACTGTGAATATTTAAAAAAACATTTTAAATGACTTCAAAAATGATTCATTCTTCTGTTAATTCCTTTATATAACCGTATTTAAAAATTTGTGTGATACAGAAACGGTAGGTTGAAATAGGTTATCTTCCTCCTTATCACATCCTAATTCCGTTACGTTTAGTTGTGCCTCATTTAAAAAGTGCGCCCTGTATTTCATTGCCGGTAATGCCAACGGAAAAAACCCTAATTATAACCAATACATGTTTTGGGTTATAAACTGAACTTCTAATTTTTGTGTTTTGACTAAATGAACCTTATAATACCTTCAGCACGATGGGTACTGAAATATTAAAATCTTTCGGCGTCTTACAATCAGAATTAGAGCAAGCTAAAAGTAGTCTAAAAGGCGTAGATGAAAATATAAAACGTCTAATAGGAAGAGACCCTTCTGAGATAATCCCTCGACCTGGAATTAAAAGGAATTTACCTATTGAGGAAAGCAACAGGGGGAGACCACGCATTATATCGTTAAACCGCGCGAGGAACTTCAACCATGAAAATGACGAGCCGCTCAATAAACGAAGGCAGTCAGTTTTTAAGAGGTTATCGGAAAGACCCCCACATTACGAAGACGAAATTCTGCAACAGCCACAAAAACAGTTGATTAGCAAAGTTATAGTAACACCACGTGAGGTTCCCAGTCGACAGGATGCCTTAGCAGCCCAAAGCACCGATGAGAAATCCAAAGCGAGAAACCGTAGGATGTTCGGTGCTCTCTTGGGTACTTTGCAAAAGTTTCAACAGGAAGAAACTAAGCTAAAATCAAAGGTGCGTGTAAAGTAGGTTCTGTCACGATACTAATTTCTGTTTATAGGAACAAAAAAGAGCACAAGTAGAGAAAAAGATTGAGGAACACGAAATAAGAGAGAAAGCGGAAATAAAGAAAGAACGACAGGAGTTATTTTTCAACAGAAAGAGAAAACAAGCCGAAATTAAGGTGATCGAGTTAAAAATGACACGCATGCGCGAATATGCGGTGTGGGAAGAGCGGCAGAAACCCAGGAAAAATTTTATTCTCACAAAGGCGAAGCCTCACATTTACTACTTGCCTAGGCGGGTAAATGAAGCAACTAAGACCCTTTTAGAAAAAAGCAAAGTCGATGTTGAGAGTAAGTGACCATGTACTTTATTAAATCTTAATTGTGTGTATATTTTTAGAAATTATCGAGAAACGTCGGTCGGAGATTTCTACAGAATTACAACATATAGAAGACCGAATGAGGAGAAACTTTGAACAGAAACGAATTAGTAAAGAAGTTGCACATGAAAATGAAGAGGGTGAACCTGACTCCGATCAAAAAGACGTTAATGCTGATGACGAAAATGATTCACAAATTGAAGGTGTGGTGAATGAAAGCTCAAACATTTCTGAGAACGGTGTATTGGAGGAGTCTGCGGAAAATGCGGATCTGATTACAGATCATGAGAACATGGTTGATAGTGTTAGTACATTGCCAGCTGATGTAAACGACGAGACCACTGTAAATAGTATGGAAACGGAGGAAATAAATAACGACGATTCTAAAATGGAGGAGCAAAAGCCAGTTGAAACCGAGGATCAGTCGTTTAACGGGGAGAATAGTTCAAAAGGTGACAGTGATTGAGTGGGTATATATCTGGACATCGATTTTTAGTTAAGATTTAATATTGTTAATGTGTGAAATAAAAAGAACTATGGATAAATGTAAATACTGAAATACAGAAACTGCTAGAAAACCTTTTTCCAGATTTTGCTAATGTAAGCAAATTTGCTGTTTATTGTATATATATTTATAATTAGTATTCACTTATCTTGTTAAGTGCGAATGTGGCTGATTTTTTAAAAAATATATTAAATATGGAGCAAATGTACGTTTTTAGTTTTGCAGTGTATCAAAAAAAACCTATATTGTTCTGATCTCTGCAACATGTAGTTCAGATGGTTGGCGATTATCTTGACTATCTGTAATAACTTACAAAGAAAACTAAATTTGAAATGGTTATAAACCTAAAATACATGCAAAATAACTGACTAAATAAAGTTATAATTAATATTCTTAATAACTAAATCATTACTTCACTGCTATCTATACAGACAGTGCTATACACTATATTAAGAAGTAGACATTGATTATACATAGTGTGTATAATCAATGACATAGAGATTTATGTGTATTGTGTTTCCCTATGTCTACTTGCAAATGACAAAATCTTTTCTGAAGAGCTCCTAATTTTATGCAAACAAATAAACATCTTTAATTTGAATATTGTTGCTTTGCGTTCCGTATTTTTATTTTCGTTCATGTGCGATGTATTCAACTGAAAAAAAAGTTGATGTTGTCAATTGGTATAGTGCCGGAACAGTTTAAGGAGCGCAAAAGGTTTATTTTCTGTTAAGCGAAAATAACAATATTCAAACTAATTAATATGACAGCCAGATGTTTATTTGTTTTAAAAAGTTATTTTGGATGTATAAAATTAGGCGCCCTTCAGAAGAGATTTTGTCTTAAAAGTAGACATAGGGAAAATACATACAAATCCCTATGTCTACTGCTTAATAAATATCATTGTATATGCGTGTGGGGTACGCATCCATCAGACGCGTACCCGGGTACCGGATAGGAGGGAAGACACATGAATGATTGTAAAGTGACTTCTGGGAATTGTAAAGAAGATGATTCAAACAAACCCTTTCTGGGCTCCTGGCCAGAAAGGACCAACAAGCCGAATCCTCAAAAAGGGTTCCACAATGGGGCAGACTCGTGGAAAAAGGGAACGGCTCCAACTCAGGGCTTTTTTCAAGGACTGGCGCACAAAAGGCGCTGGCCAGGAAGCGTCGGCTAGAGAGTAAAACCTCAGGTCCAGGTAGCCCTGCGCCAAAACCTTAAAGCTGTGTCTGGGTCGTTGGCTGAGGGGGGCAACAGGACGAGAAGCACTACTAGGTCGCCCGAGAAGAAACCTAAAGGTTCTGGACCACCCAAAGTTTGCGGGTGTACCACGTACTTATAGGAAAGACCTAGGGAAAGTCTCTGCGACGGGGCTGAGGTAAATCATTGTGGCCGAATGCGAGGACCAGTAGACCTTGGACTCGTTGGAGAGAACTTTCCGTCTTATTAATGGGATGGCGCTGAAAGTTCAGAGGCACGTTTCTAAATGGTAACCAAAGTGATGGCTGTATTATACCACAGATATCGTATATCTATGATTATACGGAATCCTGGATAACACGGCTACGAACTTGAAGCGCCTTCGGAGGCAAAATCCTGGTATCAGGACGAGCCTATGGAGGGCGTTCATCCGCAGGGCGAGGAGCTCGGTTGGGTCAGCGGCAGAACTTTCAAGCGCACACGGGGGTCTCGCACGTCACTTTGGAGACGAAATCTAGTGCTCTGGCTGCACCTGGTAAGGAAGAGGGTTCCACCAAAGCAGCGGGACCAAGATAGACGAAGGGGATTGAACCCTTCAGTATCGACTTTGAAGGGGCGTCGGGATTACTATCGGCGCCCTCAGAGGTCGAGAAAGATGTCGACGAGCGTTTGCATCGTGCTCTTTTTCCCCTCGCGAGCACTTTCTCCACTTCTGGGCGTTTTTTTCCGCTCCCGAGGGCATTTTCCGCTCGAGAGTTTTTTTTCCTGCTCCCCAGCGTTTTGTCCACTCATGATCGCCTTTTCCGCACCTTTCGCTTTGCAAAACAGTTCGATGCTGCGAGCACTTTTTAGACAATTAGAGTGCTCGTCGCTACTAGGTAGCGTATATCGGCAAAGGTACTCTTTGGTATCGGCAACAGTTGTGGTCTTATGTCACGTTCATATATTTGGTCACGATCCCTATACTCTGACATGTGCAGCGGTACTAAAAATGGTTGACTGCTCCGTACCTTTAAATATATAGCAACGTAATTATAAGACGTATCGGTAACTGTTCCACAACATTTGTGTCTTATGAATGCGCCTATTAGCCCCATGGCGACAAGTATGTGGAACCGGAGAGCAACGGGCTCTTGAACCTAGTTGCGAAAGAAACGGGGTAGGCACAATGAGCATTTGATTTGCTGAAGTGCCACCTCGTCGGCCTCCCCTGTGACTTGAATAGAAGATCAGGGAGGTAAAATAAGTAACGAGTAAAATAATACCAACTAAAATAAAATATTAAATAACGGGAACGATACGAAAAAGTTTAGACTCTATGGGTGATTTTTGTTTACACATTTTTAGCGCATTTTTTCAGAATTACAAAAATGTGCTATTGTTTGCGTTTTGTCCGTCAGTCCGTCAGGACCCACTTCTAGGGGAATTTGGTCCTAGAGTCTTGGAATTTTTTGCAGTAGGTAGCCTATACCATTGTTTAAAAAGTATTTAAACAATGCCTATACCTTGAAGGTGTGCAAGGCGGCCATCAAATTTCGATGTCTAAAAGCCCCCCCCCCCTCCCCCCGAATTATTTCCTGAGATACTGTTTTTGAAAGTAAAACGTGCATAACTTTTACATACGACAACCAATTGGTCTCAGATTTTCCATATGCAGTGGTGCCAAGTTAAACTTTAGAAAATGGGTGGGTGGGGGGGGGTTAATTTTATCTCTCATTGTATTCTAATTAAAGGTCTCAATGAAAGGAATCGTTTTCTACTAACTATAGTGCCCTTCTTTCTCTCTTCTTATCAAAGTATGGGGCGAGGGAAAGGAGAGCGGGGAGAGTGGAACTAGTTTTATCCTTCATGGTACTGTAATGTGTCTAAAGGTGTCTCAACGAAAGGAATTAATTTCGACCAACCATAGCCCCTTCTCCTATGACCTCTTATCGTGATCGGGTATATTCCCTTACACCTCAAGAACGGATTGTCGGGAGAGGGTACTCACAAATGGCGATTGAGACGTCTGCAAGAAATATATCCATTGGTGATGTCAAAACAAAGTTCGGTACAATTTCTACCTACTTGTTTGATTTTTAAAGGCATTACTATTCCAAGTCATTCTATGCCAAAAAACAGTAAATAGAAAAAAATAATTCGTGTAGTTCTAATTTGGTTGAAGGTTCCCTGATAAAGTCCCGAGCGATGCCGCCGGAGGGGGGGGGGGGGTTAAAGGGACTTTTTGCAGTTTTTCGGTTTTATTTCGAAAATGGGGGGGCGTAGTAAAAAATTGATCAAAATTGAAAGCTCATACAATTTTCTACGACTTTGTTTCTATACTTTTTTTTCAAAAAACGCATCGTTTTCCAGCTACGGGCTCTTGAAGGTGAGAAATTTTCAAAGAACCCACGTTTTCGATCGAACTTTTCTTCGAGCTCATTTTCTCATTAGGTACCTGTTCACTTTTAACGTATAAGGGAATGGTTGTAGGGAATCTAATTTCCTTCAAGAATCATTTACATGTGTGGTGTAACATGCTTTGACAGTTCGACTTTACGTACAACAAAAATGAAGTGAGATTTCATGAGCGAAATGTCCAATTCAGATGTACGTATGTACAATTCCTCTCCGCGATGATCGTCTACGTCCTCTTCATCTTCTTCCAGGATTGGTGTGCAAAACTGTACCTTCAACCCCCTTCCCTCCCCCCGGCGGCACCGAAATCGTTCGGGACTTTATTACACAACCATCAGGGGACCTTCAACCACACATTACCGAAAAAATTGGAACTGCAAGAATGATTTTTTGTATATTTCCTAGAATTACTGGACTAGGTATACGGCATTTTCTAGACAGTGTGCGCCAAGGGAATGGAATAATCCTCCTCCTGCAAGTTTAACCAGCCCTTATATAAAATATTGCTTAACAATTTTTACCCATAGGAAGTGATTAGATGTTCAATTTAATTTAGTGGAAGAAACTACACATTATCCATTATAGTCAGGGGTGAGATTCTGCTAACACAAAAACTCTTCGGTTTAGAATCTATGTGCGATATATTTGTTGCGATTCACTAGTGATCACACATTTTTTTTTGTTAAAGTTTGACTGGACCAGCAAGGTCATGTAATTTTCCATTCAGTTTTTACAAAAGATTTTATTGCACCAAAGATGAGTCATACTTACCTATCCTTTTCGTGTTAAAGTAGTGTGAAGTTAACAGATTAAGTACACTTTACACCTTTAAAACCTAATAACACTTTAAAAGCTATTTGGAGGAATGCCTATAATCAATAAAATAAAGGGCGTTTCACTTAAAAAAAGTTGATGCTGTCATAACTCAAAATGACGCCATCATTTCACTTCACTCTGAATATCATCCCATTTAAAATGTCATTCCCTGACGATTACCCGTAAGAAACTATAGTTGGAATATAGAGGTAGGTACCTAATTTCCAACATTTTTTCTCGGCTACTTAGTACTTAAAGCCCAAATGTTGCAGGTATTACAGGTGCGTGCCACCCGATATAAGTACCTAGAGTTTTATTGTATATTTTCCCTTCCTCGGTTTAGAAACAGTGAAATAAACTAATCGGAATTAAATTTGGTACACAAATTCCTCGACAAATTCTTAGATATAAAAGAAAGAGCTGAAAAGCTTTTAGGGAGAACGCGTATGCGCAGGTGTAGTCTAGGTGGCAGTACCTACAATGGTAAGATTTGTTGTATATACTGCGCATGCCGAATGACATGTAGACACCTCGTGGGGTTACTGCCAAAACAAGATAACTCAATTTTTTTTATAATTTGAGTTAAGTACACTACTAATTTCAGAATAGTGCAAATTATATACTACCAAAAGGAGATAGCTCCAAAGCAAGTCTAAATTGTGTTTACACATGCGCCGAATTAAGATAACTCCATTATAGTAATAAAGAGTACAGCAAGAACCAGTCAAATGCAGTTCAGTAACCATCTAGTCTGCAAAAAGAACGTATGCGGTATGTGTCACTTATCCTACTTTGCCTGTTTAACTTTGTTCCATTTTGTTACAAAGTTGACTGCCTAAACAAATTATATACCACTTATCCTATTTTCGCTGTTGCAAATATATGTCCATAACCGATAACTGCCACTTATCTTATTTTAACTGTACCAGTATACACCTATTCAAACTACCTTCTGACCTCACTTGTCTTGTTTTGGTTGTAATAGTACTTACGAACATGTGCTCAACATAACCTGCATACGGCGGTGTTTCGGCTTAAATTTAGTGGTGTATAGTGAGTTTTTTTTTAAATTGCTAGCGTTCAATTCCAAAGAGTTTCATTATTACTTTAAGTCGTTGCCTTAGGCAAAGTGTGCCAAAGACACAATCCCAAAACCTGGTTTAGAAGACACTGATCCAGAGGATTTGGAGATAGATGACGCGGAAGAAAATTAAATTGATGTTTTTTACGTATACCTAATTTTCATTAATAGTTTTATTTTATTGTTTGTGTTTTGCATTAAAAATAGTTCCTTCTAAATTGGTGTACTCTTTTGGTTAACTCCTGAATGATTCTTAGGCAACCTGCAAAAATAAGATAAGTGCCCATTTTTTTTAAATAATTTTGTTTATCAAATTGTTTCTTCAGTTGATAAATACAAATAATAACATATCATTACAATTTATTTTTATTATAGCATATGCATGCTTGAATACTACTTTAATAATGATTCGCTGATTTATCCTGCGCATAATAAGTTACAAATCCACTTTACTCAAAACTTCAAACAAGTGACTTATCTTGTTTTGGCAGTAACCCCACGACCTATAACACATATATTCTTCTCTTATATATATGATATTAAGGCTCCTCTGTAGTCAATCCGCCATATTGGAAAAATAGCTAAACTTTCTTATCAAATGCTGCTTTTGTAGTTGCAGTCTAACAAATTCTCGATAGTGGATATTCTTTGCAATGATGAAAAGAACGGCGGTACTTAAAGAAAGTTGAAATATCGGTCTTAGTTTTTTAGGAAGATCGATGAATAGAAAAATCGTTTTTCGTAAATAACAGCCGTTGTAATGGAAGTAGAAAAACCTACAGCACCAATTTGGAAATCCGACAGAATTTCCTACGGCGGTACTTAAAGATATTATTTCCACCTATTATGATAATGCATATATTTAAAAAAAATATGTATCGCGATCTTTAGAAAAAAATCAAAACGCTAACGTAAGGATAGGCAACTCATATTGCACTATAACTCCTGAGGCGACAACTCATTACCTACTTGAAAGGGAAAACAAAAGAAACTACCTGGTATTATCCTGCACATTGTTACGCCGTTCCTAATGATATGGATTAGATAAATTACTATATAATTAGCTAATGTTCATGAATGCTGTTGATTTGTGAATCATAATGTCACATATTCCCAAGACGAAAAGTGTACTAAATGCATATTTATTGTAGGTACATTGGAAATAATTTTTGATTTCTAAAACCTTTTTCATTCTATCAGGATGCTTCAAGAAATTTGTTTAGGAAGGTATCAAATAGTAGCCCAATTTTTAGCTAAACCCCTAGGCGGAATACGACTGTACCAGTAATTAGAAACATTTTTGCCGCATATTTGTTCTTGTGTAGAAATGTGGCACCGTTTTGATTTTTTGGACTAACGCATGACCACCACACAAGCGGGTAGCACAGTATCACAATTCGCAAACACTACTACTGAGTCGAAACTTAGAGAGGCAAGTGCTACTTATTTTTTCAATATGATCAGATATCAGGAATATCCGCTTATCAAAAAATAAAGGAACGACAAATTTCGATTTTTACAAATAAATTGGTGAGAAAGTTGCGCCCAATAGTTTTCACATTCTGAGCCTACCATTTCAAAGAAATTCGATTCCACTTTGTTAATTTTAACTTACAAAAAAATGTTCCAATTCCCCTTTTTAGCTAAATTTCTAAGCGGGATACGATAACTAATAGGCGACACTGACAAATTTATTTTAAAAAAGTGTCATTGTTTTGCTCATGTCAAGTCAAGGTAGTGAGACATCACGAAAATGAATATTTGTATCAAAACATGGGTGAAATTTTGGGTTTTCCCGGTAATTAGAAGTGGGTTAAAAAATTCTCCCACTTTTAAAAAATTTCAACTATTTATTTTTTCCGTTTGAGAATATGATGCAATCCCGTAAACTTCACATCAACTTAGCGAATATGAACTGATATCATCTCGGATCTTGCCTCTCAGAAAATAGAGGATCAACCGCGGAATCAACAAATTTTACAACTGAATTCTCAATTTAGGACAAAAAAGCGAAGTCATCTTGCTGCACATAAGATGTTCGGAAAAAATCTACATGAGTTGTGCATAAATATAAATAAGTATAACCACAGATAAATAAAGCTCCGTTTATCTGTGGTATAACTATGTACAATTATTATTTTTTGAAAAGATAAGAAGATAGAGAGAGATTTATTTTAGGTTCTACCATACCTAAATCCTATGTGAATTCATTCATGCACATGTCTATCTAATAACTATAAACATCTATAAATCAGTAAAATTAATTAGAAAAACTCACAGGAAATAAAGGGTTAATTAAAAATGTTAACAAACAATGCTAATCTGGTCCACTAATGACCTAAGAACCAGGTAATTTACAGAATGTGTCATTATAGAAAAATGCAGTAAATGCATTGAATAAGTAATTTACTCAATAGTAACAGAAATAGGCATTTGTGCATCTCCATTCAAATATTGTACAGCTTTTCGCTAAACTTGTTTACATAATATTAGTCCTTGACCATTATACATGGTCTATTGTGTTTAACAATAAATGAAGAGAATATGCAAAACTGGAAAGGATAGAGATACATCGTTGGTCTCACTCAAGGGTACATCGTCTAGAGATGTGTATTGTTGGTGGTCTAACCAATTGCAATAACATTGAAATACAAATTGACTACAGAGGAGCCCTAATACGTTTCCAAATGGCCATCAAATAACAGGCTGAAATTTAAGTGTACTTTTTTAAAATTTTATTAAAACGATTCTCAATCTTATTGCCCCTTGTTGAACAACGATTAGACGGTGCCATTCGATCCCTAGAACGTCCATTATTATTAAACGCGCCCGAAGCACAGCTTAAACTTGATGTGGAACCGCGATTTTTAGAGGAAGGGGATGATCCTCTACTTCGTATTTGGGACTCTGACGCACTATAGTTATTCCAAAATTCTTTCTTACTGGACGCCGAGCTGCTTCGACTTTGAGGTTGGAGTTTCGACGGCCTGAGAAAGTAATTGGGAAACAACTAGCACTGTACACAACCAATCGTACCTTCTATTGCTATCAAATGGCTTGTCTTGGCGTATAAGTCTTGGAGAAGCAGATCTTGATCTTTGAGTTGCCTTTGTGATATTTCTCCTACACTCCATCGTATCGTATACATTGGGCGTTTTCTTGATTTTTTTATTAGTCTGGTTATTTTTAACGGGGCTGTAACTTTTACATACAGATAAACTAGCCAATATTTATATATTTACATTTGCATTTTGCATCTCAGTGCCCTTTCAGATTTCCTGCATCGTTCTAACTCGTCAGCTAACATCATCTTATCTGACTGCAACTTTTGTACTAATCTATGATGAGAGTGTCTTTCGAATTGGACGCTTTTCTCCAATTGTATGATGGCGTTTTGTAATTCTTGTACTTGACTTCTAGGATTTCTACTCAGAAGCCTTGCTAACCTTTTTACTTCGCCAGTGAGATGATTGTTCTCTATCGTCAGTTCATCTATTCTGAGTAAATTGAAGATGTCGAGATGAGCTTGGTAACCTACTTACCGTCTTTCCAGAGTTTTTGTGTGTCTGCGTTCATTGTGATCGTTTTTCGTACAAAGAGCTTCTTCTGCACGCTTTAATTTCGCCTCCAACTTTCGTACAGTCGCTTGCAAAATTGCTGGATCAGGAAGACCGCAATATTCTAGCGGAATTGGATATTTTATTCTAAAATTTAAAATTACTTCCCAATTTGCGCGTTTACTGCTCACTACTTGTCAAATTCAACTGAGTACGTTACAATGAGATATCGGCGATTATTACTGTTCATATTCACTCTGGAGGAGCTCTTAACTTTGCGTACTCGCATCGATTCTAGATCTTCGTAAGTCAGAAGATCTAATGATATACATTCGGTCGTCTAAAAACTGTTATACGAATAACAAGTTTAAAATAGTTTGCTCACCTTCAATAAGCCAGATTTTAACATAGTTGTAAATATTTCAAATTGCTTAAAATTTCCAGTTTTACGTGTTAAATCTTCGATGTCTGAAGAGAGAAATTGCACAAAGAGATCAACAAAACTAATACATACATGCTACGTCATATGAACATTCCCATTCTTCACCAGTTTGTTTATCCGTTAGAACGAGTTCTAAGCAATTGGCACTGTTTAATTTCATTAAATATTGTCGTTGGTGAAAAGTGTAGGTTGTTATTAGGATGTTTTCCGACATTAAAGAAGATATAATTATTATAAAAATAATTTTATGACGTGTAAATGTCAAATTTGTTGTAGGTAACCAGACAAGGTTGTAAAATAATTTGAGCCCAAATGATTCGCATCCTGACAGTTGGCACTCGGAAATTTAGCACTCCACTATTCATATCGGGACAATACTACTCCATGGACATTGGACAGTTTCACACTCGCGTAATGAGCATGCAACGGATGTTACAAATTTGACTTCTTCTCCATTCTGGTTAACCTTTCTATATTTTAATTAAATTGGGTGCGGTTCTTGATATGTTAATATGTAAATGTAACTATATATTAATATGCCTCAGCTGGCCGTCGGTTAATAATCCTCTTCTGGTCTTTTAAGGAAAAGGTAAAGGGATAATGGTAACTCAATAATCTTTATTAAATTACGAAACGGTTCTTTTCTTTAAGGTACTTCTATTAATATAATGTTAGTAAATGGGGGGTTTAAGGAAAAACAATTCTGTAAAGTAAATGGTTAAACCACGCTTCGCATTGATAGGAAATATTCTACTTTATTTATAAATGAAGCAAACTCAATGTATATTGAATCACCGTCAGGTGCTAAAAGAAAATTAATTGTATTTTATAAACAACCTGTACAATAAAAAATAAAGCGAACTGCGATACGTTAATATGTTAAGAATTTCCAGGCGCGAGTCTAAAACAATTGGGGTCCACAAAAACACCAACTGCAAATGCAGATCGTAAGTAGGTAGTTAAATCGCCTTTATAGTATCTACAATTTATATCGTTGAAATAAAATGGCTACGATGCTATCTCATAAAACACAATAAGGCAAGGGGTAATACTATGATGATGAATGGCTAAAAAACGACGACGCAATAGAACCGTAATTGTTTATAAATACCATTATTGTTTATGCACCAGGAGTTCTCTAGGTAGCACTTGTAACTGAGGCGGGTTTTAGAATTTCTGCTGTGGGAGCAAGTCACGTTTGTCACGGTATCAGCGCATGCGTTCCGGCATAGAAGAAACACAATTCCTCTATGGTTCCGGTTAGCGGATTCGTAATCACTTATCATCGAAATCGCTGATCTCGTCTTCTGGTTCAATCATAGCAGCATTACCTTCGGCATCGAGAACAAGGTCTTCCTGTCCGATCTCATTAATTATTTAATTAAATGACCATATGATGACATACCCCTACGAATAGGCAACACACCTTACAGCGAGCGGGTTTTTTTTGGCAGAAAATTATGAAACCGTGGTAGTGACCACTGAGTGATCAGCATTGTTGAAAGCAGGTGTCAGCATGGTGTTCTATGTGTTCGCTATTTTTTCAGGTATTATCAAGGTAGCACTTGGTTTGTTTCTTTTGTTTCATATGAACTATTTTCCATTCAATTTCTAAATTTCAGGTCTTCATTTTTTACAATTTTAACATTTATTGCTGAAGGACAACGAATATTGCTTTTTTGTACTCCGTGGACAAAATGAATGTGATTTGTCTTCCATTTAAGGCACTAAAGTGTCACTTTTTCTTCCGAACGCGACGTCGGACAAAAAGTGACAGATGACATCTGAAATGTCAAACACAATTTCATGATTAATGGTTACCTTTATACGTACATTTTGGTTTATACACCATATTTTATACGTATTATACACGTTTCTTTGTATCTTTTTGAATTTAGGAGGAAGTAGTCTCCTCATAGCTCGTTCTGCACAGTGTTAAACGATCATTTCTCGCCGTTATTTTGAAGGAGGATCTGACAAGGTATCCTACAATCAAACAATTTTTTAGCTCCAATATGGCGGATTATGATAACCTGTCGGCACTGTCCTAATACAGTTACTGTAGCGTCGTAAAGTTGCCCTGTATAGTTCTGTTAACAGTTTATATCGTAGAGAAAGCACCTAATACAGTTTCGATCTTTTGGCTTTTGTACCTTTCTCAACTACTGCAGGCTGCAACTTTTGTGCCTTAGCAATACGAGAAGAGGCGTTCCTCTAATCAACTTTTGTTCTGTTTAGTATGCAGACCGGCATATGTCACTTCCATCACGCTTTTGATAATTTGTGCATTTGTAATTATATGTTTGTCATTGTAAAATTTGGAATGTTGGATTTGTATGTGTTATTTTTCTTGCTGGTTCTTTCGTTCTGCTTTTTGGTTTGCTTAGTTTTACTCAATTCTCTTCCCGATTGTGTCTCACGACACAAAGAACAGACCATAATATAACACAACATATAGGGGTTCTATTCGTAACCTTGTCCCAGCCAACTGCAACCAAGATTTGAACTAGGATTTGAAAGTGTTGCGAAATGTCTCTCATTTTTAAATTTAGATTGCGCTGTTTGTAATTCTTCCCCGAAGTTTCCAACTCTAAGTATAAGGTAAATCAAAATTGCAGTGCCGGAGTGTTTGGCATTCAGTTGTATCGGATATATTACGTCTCTTTTCGTTATCAGAGCCGTTTTGTTCTCTGCAAATGACTCCTTCCGCAGAAAAATGGTCTTAATAGAGTGCCCGGAGTTCTTCAGCGCCATATGACCATGGGCTAATCCTACTGTGTGACTGCAGTCTCCTCAAAGATATCGCAGAGTTTCCTCCAAACCTGCCCACCACTTTTCTGAATGTGGTAGTAATTGCCGGGCTTCAGGAACAAGGTAATTTTACCACGTTTTCTTGCCATTCGCTGAAGAATTTGATTAAACTCAAAAGCGCAAGAATCCTAAAGAAACCGATAAAAACGCAGAATAATGGAAAAATGGAAAGGGAATAATTAGAAGAATTCGAAAGAAAAGTAAGCAACTGGAAAATCGAAAGAATTTGAAATTTAACAAATGTGAGTACGGAAGATTAATAAAAAATAGCAAATTGGGTAAAACCTTTGAGTGAAGAAATACGAAGTAGGTATCTAAAAAACCTGAAAGATTTGATGCATCCAAGGAAAGGAATAGAAAAAACCCACTGGACATGAAGAAATTGAGAAAAAAATTATCAAAGTCCTCGTTTGAGATCGAAGGGACTTCAGCGCATTTTTGTGTGGCAGATCAGTATTCTATTAGCCACTTTCGACTCAACCATCAATAACAGATCTTGTCGAAGGCTACTACATTCACTAACCGCTTCCCACTTTCCTCGTGCACCCGCAATTCGCTTTTAAAGATTTGACTCCACCATCAGTAAGATCGTGTCGGGGGCTACCACATTCCCTTTGACGGTACCCCCTTCCGACGTCCCGTTTACCCGCAATTCGTGTTTGAAGATTTGACTCCACCATCAGGAAGATCGTGTCGGGGGCTACCACATTCCCTTTGACGGTACCCACTTCCGACGTTCGTTCACCCGCAATTCGCGTTTGAAGATTTGACTCCACCATCAGGAAGATCGTGTCGGGGGCTACCACATTTCCTTTGACGGTACCCCCTTCCGACGTCCCGTTCACCGGCAATTCGCGTTTGAAGATTTGACTCCACCATCAGGAAGATCGTGTCGGGGGCTACCACATTTCCTTTGACGGTACCCCCTTCCGACGTCCCGGTCACCCGCAATTCGCGTTTGAA